CTTCTCTGCTACATCTTAGACTCTCAAAAACTTCTTCAATAGGCACATTTTCCTGTAAAAAAATACGCAAAATCATCAGACTCTTTTTCTCCAAGAAAAATTTGACATAAGAGAAACAGAAAAAGAAAGGATTGAGCAGATCTATTACCAGATCCACCGTTTCTTTCAAGACGGCCTCCAGTACTTCCTCCTTGTCCCCCATATTCTTCTGCTCGCTCCGAGAAATAAAAAAAGAAAAAAAAAATATCAGAAGAGGAATTTCAAATTCGCCATGAAAACACCAGCAGAAAGCTCCAGAACAAACAAACAGAGCATAAAAAACGGTGAAATTTTTCAGAGAAGTTTCGTAAACTTGGACGCAGAAACCTGTGATTGATTGATTGTTCGTTTCCTTAGATTGAGAGAAAGAAGAAATGAAAGAAGAGAGTAGAGAAGAAGAAGATGAGGAAACCGCTAAAGGTTAGTGGCAGTATGGGAAGCTAACACACACTCTATATCTCGCCCCACAATAATATCCTTTCTTTTTTCTTTTCTCTTTCTTTAATTAAAAGCCCTTTTTCTTACTGCCTTTTTCAACATTTTTTCTCCTTGCGTCAAATATTCATGAGACCAGAAATATATCACCTACAATGGGGAATAAAATAATTAATAATTAATAATTAATAAATAAGTTTAAACATTAAAAATCTTTCAAGTAATTTAATCTCCAACACGTTCGGTTATGGTTTACATATTTTTTTGGGTTTAGAATGCAGTAAATGGGTTTAGTTGGAAAAGCTGGAAAATACAAATTCTCCTCCTTTGTAATTGTAAATGCTCTAGTGTATGTAGCTGTAATTTAAGAAAAAATTGAAATTGTTTAGCAGACACCGACTTCAAACTCCCAACAGGCTGATCTTATTTTTGTACTATAATTCGTGGAATGTTACTGACACAACGAAATACCAAAGATTAACAACAATTCTAAACAGAAATTGATATGATGTATAATATCTTCAGTATATAGATCTGTACTTCGAATCCAAGTTCAGTAGTCAGTACTAAAACCAAAGCAGTATATATATTTTTTTTTGTTTCTTTCTCTTAAATATAGCAACATTGTATTAGATGCTTCATTCCTATCAAACCTCCAACGTCCATGCCAATCGGGTCAAAATAAGTAACGTACACGAAAATATACATATGTTTCTTGTGAATCTGATCCAATGCAAATTCATTTAATTGAAATACTTTTCACCTAAGTCACCTAACTAATATGCACATTATAGTTTTTTAAAAAAAACAATAAACAGATAAAAAAACAGTAAAACCAAAGTTAAACTAATACAATTAAGCAAGGTGAGCAGCCATGAGTGAATTGTACATTTAAATCATACATTTAAACCTTCACACGACACCGTATCGCTATGAGTGAATTGTAGGCGGATGATATAAATTAATAAAATGTATGAAACATTGATGAAAGGAAACGAATGGGTCCCACCCAAGGAAAGAAACAGCCATGTGCATGAGAAAATATGGTGGCCATATGCGAAGAGGAAAAGATAGACACGTGTCCAAAGAAACAAACAGTTCACAATTTACCACACACACACACGCCAAAACAAAAGAACAGCACAACCCACGTGTCGCGACCTTTGTTGTTTGTCCTCCTTCTCTATGTTTTCCGTACGGTACCCGTCCGTAAAGCGAGAGTGTTTTCCACTCTTTTTTTTCCTTTTTCTCATTTCTTTTGCCTTCTTTTGTTCTTTAACTTTTGTTTTCTCTGTTTATTTTTATTTCAATTCGGTGAAGAAGTTGCATACAGCGGCTTAAACTTCTTGGTTACCAAATACTCTATTTTATTTTTCTAAGTTTAATAAACCATAAATTATCATCATAATTTTTTGTTTTTTTTTTGAAAAAATGAAGATTCAACTTAAACAATAAAAATTTGATAAAGAAACAAACCGAACGAGAAAATAAGAAGCTAAACTGGAATACTACTCAGATCTTTTTAACAAAAGGATAATAATAGAGTACTTAGTTTATAATTAGTGATGATACGTTTTATATTAACAAGTTGTTTAATCATATAACAAACTGTTATCTATTCGAATATTATCCTCACGTCTTTTTTTGGTTTTCAAGTCTTTTCGAACTTCTTATTTGAATAATGGAAAATTGACTCAGAAATTATCCACATTATATCAAAGTGTAGTAACTTTTTCTCTTTCTCTTTTTCCTCGGGGAAGAATAATACCTCCCCTTTAGCATTATTTATCGTTTATTAAATTGCCGAAGGTTCTATTATATATATATCGGTTTAGTGTTCTATTATCCTTTCCACGCAAAAAAATTATGTCCGTTTTCTTTCAGGTAGTGCTTGATGACGAGTAGACTTGTATCTTATCTTATTTTCTCCTATTTTCTAAAATTTGTATAGAGATTGTTTGGACTTAGGTGTAGGCCCAAATGGGGACTTAGAAAAGTAGAAAACTAGTTAGGATCCCTTGCTACAAAGTTAACGTATAATTGCCCGTAAACAGCCTACTGCCTCTCTTGCTCCAAATTCGACTATCCACTAGTGCTCTATCTCAGGTGTATGTACGTAATTCATTTTTGGAAAATGCTGATGATTCATCGGTTATACCGTTAGGCCAACACTGGTGATCCACTTGTGGCCAATCAAAGATCATCGAAGGAAACAAGAATAAAAGAGACATTTGTATATCAAGTGTTATGTACTTCAAAAAAAAGAGTGTTATGCATACTTAGTTGTCTATTGTCTATTGATAGTGAATGCAATTTGTCATTTTTGTGTATAAAACTGGCTAAACTTAAATTTCTATCAGTAACTAGATTTCACTTGGATTTTTCTTTTAGAATAACTACTTAATGTAATTTTTATTATTTTTTGTCTTACAAAATTAAAAAGCCATCTTCTAGGCTCATAGCAAGACAGAGTGCAACCTAACAACCAGGTTATGGTTCTGCTATTTAAGCAACTTTGCCAAATTTTTCCACAACATCTATCTTTAAATTAAAATTTAATTTTAACTTGCGAAATCTGCTTTTAAAGACACTCGGAAATTAGAGTCTTAACCCATTATATGGTAAGCTAATCTATCTATTATACCTATTTTGCAGTGAATTATTTTTTTTGATTAACTTTTAAAGATATACAATTTTTAAAATATATATAAATTGATTATTATTTATATAATAATCAAGAAGAGGTCAAAAAAAATATAATAATCAAGAAGCTAAATATACTCTTGAATGGAAAAAATATTTTCCATCTTCTCTAAAATATTTTAAAAAGAGAGTCATATCGTTTCCTAATTCAATTATAGTTTGTATTTGTAATGAGATAATATGTAATAGACTATCAATTTAATGCTAACTTTAAAAATGACTCCTCAATTATATAAGCTAATTGCAAAATGGATTTGACATAATCGGTTAAGTGAGAACAAGCCTTTCTAGTTAGAATTCCTCGTATCACCACCATAATGCATATTATTGGGTAAAATAAAATTAAAAAAAAAATGAAAACATGTCGAATGATAGCATTTTTTCAATATAGTCGTCAAAATTGCGGTATCACTGAACATAAATCATGAATCTATAGAATTCTACAGTTGAAGAGCTTATATACATAGAATCACATAATTATTCAACCCACTACTATAGAATCTACTACAAAATTGTAGCACAAGTGATTTTTTCGGGAAAACGTACGTTGTTGACTAGTTTGTTATTTATATGGATGACTAAAAATTTGAACTAAATTTGAACAAAAAAATTTGTCTCTTAAATTTTGAAGTACATATCTTTTCAACCAAGACTTTTTTAAAAAATAGAGCTTCTGTCAATTTTTCCTATTCTTCTGGACAGTTGGAGGGGCAGAAGGGAAACAGAGAAGTGCTGGACGTGGGCAATTTGCAGAGGACGAAGAAGCACCTACCACAAAAAAGCAAATGAATCAACATCAAATTTATTATCAGTAAAGAGATACTATATTCATGCATAATCACATTGATAAAACACTGAACAAGAGTAATAAGAGAAAACACTAGAGCATACTTGGGAGAAGGATAGCAATCGAGGCAGGTAGAGATGAAGGCATTGGAGTGACATTATCTAAAGGAGAAGAGGAAAACTTGACAAGAGATCTATGAGAAATGTCGTTCCAATACTAACAACAGGGTTGATATAGTACACATTAACTTCTTGGTTACCAAATACTCTATTCTATTTTTTTAAATTTAAAAAATCATAACTTATCATCTCAATATTTGTTTCTAGAGAAATGAAGATTCAACCTAAAGAACAGAAAGTTTGATAAATAAACAAACCGAGAGAGAAAATAAAAAGCTAAATTGGAATACTACTAAGATCTTTTTAACAAAGTAATAATAATAGATTACTTATTTTATAATTAGTGACGATACATTTTATATCAACAAGTTGTTTAACCATATAACAAACCATATAACAAACTGATTATACTTGGATTTCTATTAGTATTAAATTCCACTTGGATTTTTTTATATAGTAACTTTTTAATGTAAACTTTGATTTTGTCTTAACAATAAAAGTCATCATCCGTGCTCACAGCAAGACTGAGCGCAACCGAACAACCAGGTTATGGATCTGCCGGATAAGCAACATCGCCGCCACATTATACCATTTTATTAACTTTTATTTATCAACATAATTTAGAAATACCAAATACATTGTATAGTAATTTTTCATTTTTTTTTATATAAAAAATGTAGTGTCAAGTGGATCAATGAAGATAGAGTAAAACTAACGTTGACGAAGGCCCAATTGCCCAAGGAGTTGTCATTCTGTTACAAGAAATACCATCAAATTATTTCCCTTGTTATGGATGCTCTGGTTTACTTCAACTAGCCGGTTTAACTATTCTTTCTGGTTTAATTATCTTCTCTTTATCGTGACTATATACTGTACAAGGCTTTAGCCACTTTCTGGAAAATCAATCAAACAGTACTTTTATCTTCTTCCTCTAAACTCTGTCACCATCGTTAATCAATCACCATCGAATCCTTGTTCTCCGAGGTGGTTCTTCTTCCCACCTTCTAGACTCCGATTCACCGTCTCAATATCATAGAGTAAAGAGGGAGGAGAACATCAAACCCTAGATCGTGAGCTTACCTCTGCTCGTCTTCCTCTGTTTTGTCTCTCTACTCAGGTCTGGAAAAAGAGCCCTTTTTCTGTCCTGATTGATTAAGGAGTAGCTATGGCTAACTATCTAGCTCTGATTTCTTCTCTTCAAAGGAATAAGAGAAGAGGAAAAGTCGGAAGAAAAAGACGAAGAGTAGACGTTTTGGTAGTGCCGGAGGAGATTCCTTTGGAACTCCAGATCGAGATCATGGCTCGATTGCCTGCTAAATCGCTTATGAGGTTCAAGTGCCTCTCAAAGCTGTGGTCTTGTCTGATCCGTTCCGGATTTTTCAGCAATCTTTATCTTACTGTCACATCCCGACCGCGACAACCTCGTATATACACGAGTTTGGTATACACGAGTTCTGCGGACCACGCCGAGTGTGATTCAATGGAGGAGGTCTGCCACAACCCCGGAAAGTCTGCACTGCTATCATTATCGTCATCATCGTCTAGTAATAGTGCTGAGTCTTTAAACACAGATTTGACCATGGAAGAGTTGGGAGGACACAACATGTTGGTTCTTCGCGGCTTGATTTTATACATTGTTTGTAGAAAGGCGTTTATCTATAATCCGGCCACCAGACAAAGCGTAACCTTACCGGCCATCAAATCCAACATCTTTGCTCAAGAAGATTATTGGAATACTGTCGACTACTTTCTTGGACATGATCCTGTTCTTGATCAATACAAAGTTGTCTGCAATGTTGTGAGATGGTCGGAAAGTTTAGAGAGTTTAACCTCGGAGCATTGGGTCTTCGTTCTGGAGGCCGGAGGTTCCTGGAAAAAAATTGAGTTTGATCAACCTAACCTTCCTACAAGACCAGGACTGTGCATCAATGGAGTTATATATTATATAGCTCTCAATCGTGTGTATCGCGATATCGTTATCAGTTTTGACGTGAGGTCTGAAGAGTTCAATATGATCCAAGCACCTCTTGTGGGAGAGTCTATGGGGTTTATAGAGTATGGTGGAAAGCCAACAATTTTTGGCTATACACATCTAAAAAATGGTATGGTGGACTTATGGGTCCTGGAAGATGGCGGAAAATGGTCCAAGAAGTCTCTGGTTTTGCAGGCTTCTCAGTTGCAGTTAGTCAATGCAGGCATCATCGATCTGGACCATTTGGTCGTGCAATGTACAAGTCAAAACGGCGAGATTATCTTGGCACCGAGACCGATGCCTTCCTCTTGTTACGTTCTCTATTATGATCCGCAAAAGAATGATCTGCGAAAGGTTAATGTCAGTGGAATATGGGATTTCGACGGGGTTGGTATGGTGTACATTTATTTCAGGCATATGGATAAGAGTGAAAGCATCGTTCACTTGGAAACTTGAATGCCCATTACTTCTTCTTGTTGTTTTGTTTTCATAATCTAATTGTTTTTTGCCTTTAATTTATACATACAATGGAACTATTTAATTTGTAATTTTTAAATTTTACTTATATGTGTTGCAAACGAACAATCATGTTACTTATATGATGCATTTCTTGTTGGCTTTGTTCTTCATGCGTTCACTTTCCCTACTAGCATGAGGAAACAACCGATGGTTACTGACAAAATATTCATATGATATGTTTAAATGTAGACTAACAAGTGTTCATCTCAACTTTTTAGTCTTGATTTAATCGTGAACAGCTAAAAAAAATGCAAATCTTTTTAATCACTAGATATTATTGATCAAGCACAAAGATATGCAGGTAAACAAAAACAATCCGTGTTACTTAAGGTTTTATTCAGAGCACAAAAAAACGGCTGAATTAGCACACCTAAGTTTACATACAGCACAGTAAAATTTATTTAGCATCCATGAGTTGATTCGAGGTAGAAATTGGCTGTTTTCTGCTGTTATATAAATTAGTTGTTATCTATTGAGTAATTTGCAATTTCTCATTACAAACGGATTTAATTTATTTTTTTCACTTAATTACAAAAGTCATCTTCTTCTGCGTTCTACGCACAGCAAGACAGAGAGGCGGCCGAACAACCAGAAAATGGATTTGCCGGATAAGCAACATCGCCGCCACATCGCCACCGAGTTTCTCCACAGCGCCGCCACCTCCATCTCTTCCATCATTCCTCTCTTCCCTCCCAAAGCGACGCCGTCTCGTGTCTGCCTCCCACTTAGATTCTCGGTATCCGACGATGTCTTCCCGTTCGATTCGACGGTCAGGAACGCATCATCCGCCTCCACGTCCTCTTCCAGCCTTAATTCAACGGTTAGGATATCATCTCTCAGCTCCGATGGGAAACGCGGTGGACCCGCTTTCGTCGGTCAGGTCTTCAGTATGTGTGACCTTACTGGCACTGGTCTCATGGCGGTTTCTACACACTTCGATATTCCTTTCATCTCCAAGAGGTTTTTTACTCTTATTGCCTTCACTCGAATCTCATTTTCGACTAAGGATTCTCCAGGATGTTTTAGGCATAAACGTCTTGTGGAACTAATCTGTAGAGATATACATGTGTATACCTTTTGTGCCTTTCATCATTTGATTTTCTCTGTTTTCAGTTTCTTTTTTCCCATCATGTTTGTTTCTCTGCTGATACACAGGACACCTGAGTGGCTAAAGAAAATGTTTTCAAGTATCACTAAGAGCGAGAGGAATGGCCCCGTGTTCCGTTTTTTCATGGACCTAGGTGATGCAGGTGCAATGACACTTCTCTTTGTAAGCTTTTTTTTAGCAATTCCTCAAAATCTAGATGCGTACTTGCTCGTATCTTCTTTAAGAGCTCTTGGTTTTGGAATTCCTTGTATCTAGATTCTTAAGCTTTCCTGCATGCTTGACCAATGTTTTTCCGGTTTGGATTTTCCTCTGACGTGATGTGTGTTTTCTCAGTTTCATATGTTAAAAAACTAAATATTCCAAGCGGAGTGGTTGGAGCTTGTCGACTTGATTTGGCATATGAGCATTTCAAGGTAGGCCTCGAATGGCACTAGTATGTTGTTTCTGATATCTTACATCTGAATGTAGGAGATACTGAATTTATTTTGCTTAATTTTCCTCAGGAGAAGCCTCACTTATTTCAGTTTGTTCCAAATGAGAGACAGGTAAGAGATACGTCAACGTGACTTGCATTTCCTTGTTCCCTTGTATTCTTAGCTGAAATGATTTATGATTCTCAGGTGAAGGCCGCCAACAAACTTCTCAAGTCAATGCCACCAAATGGGAAAAAACAAAAGGTGGAGGGTGTTCCTGTTTTCGGTGCTCAAAACTTGGACATCGCTGTAGCAACTGCCGATGGGATTAAGTGGTGAGCTTTACTGATGAAAAAACAACGTGAATTTGCTTAAAAGTGTTAACGTATTTAGCTTCTTTCGTCTCTGTGAAGTCAGTTTCCCTCAAATTCAGAGTGCTTGGCTATCCAATTTTCTTGCAGACTTAGCTGCTATATAATATGACACTTGTACAATTTTTTTGCACTGGGTACGAAATCCCTGGATTTGTTTTTAGTATCTAAAATTATCTACCTTTACCAGGTATACCCCATATTTCTTTGATAAAGCTGTACTAGATAACATTCTTGAAGAGTCAGTGGATCAGCATTTCCATACTTTAATCCAAACCCGGCACGTGCAACGACGAAGAGATGTTGTTGATGATAGCTTAACTTCTGAGGTCATGGAAGAGATGGGAGACAGCATGCTAGAGCCACCAGAGGTATATATATTGATTACTTTTATGAGAAAAGTAAAGTTGTCAATGGCCATATCATTCTCATAATCAGCAGCAAGAGTTACCTGGGATAAAAAAATTAAGTTGCTTTTCTTATAAGAATTTCCCATGTAGAGATAACGAATTTTAACTATGGTAGCTCATCATTTATAGCAGGCAAAAATATTGATATTGACTATTTGTTGGGTTGTGTCTCTGGGGTTGGTTTTGGAATATCTAAAATTTATGGTTTTTGATTGTCTTGTGTTAATCACACTGCAGGTTCAAGAGGCCATGGAAGAGATTGGCACTTCCGGAATTCCTCTGAGTGTTGTGGCAAAGGCTGCAGAGATTCAGCTCCTATATGCCGTAGACAGAGTACTTTTAGGTAGTAGATGGTTTCGAAAAGCCACAGGCATCCAGCCAAAGTTACCATATCTGGTCGATTCTTTTGAAAGAAGGTATTCGTCTGTTGTCTTTCTCTTCTTCCTTAATTCGTACAAATTCTTCAAAGCTAGGTTTTGTATATACTTACTTCAAATTCGTTGAATGAAAGCGTTTGTAAGTCAGTCTCCCAAGAGCGTTATATTTAGATTTAAGTTTTCCTTTTGCTATGAACCGTTGCAAATCTAATTGATGTGGTGCACATAGACCAACACTAAAACATTTTCACTCATGTTACTTTTTTCTTTCTCTGGTTTCTCGTAGGAGTGCATTTTCCATCCAAAGAGCGTCAGGGTCAACAAGTAGATGTATTGGTGATTCAGCAGAAGCAGATACTTCTGCATCACTGCGTAGAGTAGAAGACGATAGTCCAAGCGAGGACGAAAAAAGACAGCAAAATCTCTGGTTTCCTTTTGGAGATTGGCTTAATCACTCTGGATCGAGAAAAGAACACGCTCAAAAGGTTACATCAGATCAAAGGTACCCATTCAGTCTCAAACATTTGAAAACAAAATGCTGTAAAGTATATAAGAATAATGGTTTAAAACACACAAATTTTCGGGTTTTCAGGGAAATGGAATGTAGAGAGAGAGAAATGCAGCAGAGTCCTTTCTTACCAAAGATAACAATGGTAGGGATTTCAACAGGAGAGGCTGCACAGATGAGTAAGGCTAATCTCAAGAAAACAATGGAAGATTTAACAGAAGGCTTGGAGCAGTCTGATGAAGGGAGTAGTGAGCATGGTTCGAAGCGTTATGACCCTCTAAAGATGGAAGAGAGAGATCCTCTGTTTGTTGCAAACGTTGGAGATTACTATTCTGGTTTGGCTAAAGCAGGTTCTGCTCGTTGGTCACGTCGAGGTGGTGACAGTAACGAAACACATCCTAGGTCGTAGCCTGCTTTGTGTGAATTGCTCAAGCCTAGGTGTTATATTTTCTTGTAATGCTTCTTCTAGGGACTTGTATTCACAGATTAGATATGTATTTTTAATTACACTTTGTTTCTTCATTAATCTCAGAATTATTGAGAATAGGCCCTTTTACGAAAATAAATAGTCCACTAATGGCCCGTTTTCATAACTACTAACTCACTTAGGCCCAAGAAAATCCAGGCTGAGTAAAAAAAGACGAAGATGAAGGACCAGTCTCTTAAATGTTTTTTTGATTTGTTTTTGCTGATATTTCGAGCCTCGTAGATAGATAGATCGAGAGTCGAGGAAGAGGAGGAGAGAAAATCTAATTTCTGGGAAGAAAATTCGTACTTCTTTTCGATTGAAATATTAAACCTCAACAAAAATCTTGGTTTATTCACGTACAATTGTGAGCAAATCCTCCTAAATCGGTGAGAGCTTGGGAAGCGGAAATATGAAGACGACGAAAGGAGGGAAAGTGATGAACCCTACTGATGCTTACCGCAAGCAGATCCGCAAGAGGGAAATTAAACGTGTAAGTCATCGATTAAATATCGAATTGGGATCATTGTTCTTGTCGCTGTATGAGTTTAGTTAGATTCAGGTTACAATTGGTCTGTTTGATTTTCGATTGGATTCATATATTCCTTTATCCTAAACTAAACTCTTTTTTTTTGTTGTTGGTGAAGTTCCTTTAGAGAAATTAATATGAGAATTTGATTCGCATGCTCAGAATCGTTAAGTGGGGGTCAATAGCTTTGTAGGAACTTAGAAAGCCAAGAGATTTTGTACCATATTGTTCAAGAGTTGTCTCATTGTCTCAGCAAATACTATTATTTGTGTGCTGTATACTTAACCTTTACCTTAATTTTGGTACTTTAACAGAACAAGAAAGAGAGACAGAAGGTAAGAGAGGTTGGAATTTTGAAGAAGGATCCTGAGCAAATCAAGGAACAGATCAGGAAACTCGACATGTCAAGTAAGTCATGCTCTACTTCTCGTAAGATCTCAGAGCTTATGCTTTGTGGTAAATGTTGAGGGTCTTAAATCTTAATCAACCCAAATACAGCTTATTCCTTCTATCTGATTTCTCTTTAACCGTTTTGTAGTTAATTTTTGGCTTACAATTTTTTTCCTGTATCTCTAAACCCCCAACGAATTTATATAATTGTTCAATAGGTTAATCTTCATGCAAACTAATACATAGGTGATAATTTGTTTCGGTGTAGAGGCTGAAGGTGCATTGGACAAAGCAAGAAAACATAAAAAGAGACAGCTTGAAGATACTCTAAAAATGGTGGTCAAGAAGAGAAAGGTAGTTCTCTGGTAGAGTTAGGTTTTACTCCTCAGCCCAACAGTACCCCCAGCTAATGATTTGACATCTCGTCTTTTTTTTTTCACAGGAATATGAGGAGAAAAAGAAGGAGCAAGGAGAGGCCACAACCTCTGTTATGTTCAGGTGAATAATTGTTCTATTCCTTTACTTTATTATCTTTCTCATTAAGCTTTGATTGTTAAGATGTCATTAGCTTTCTACTATATGTAACATGTTCTTCTCTTCTATGCAGTCATCTACCACCTCAACGAAGAACAACCATTGAAGAGGATGAAAGATCGAAGGACTTAAGACCAGAGGTACTTAGTTTGTCTTCTTTCTAGTCCCTGCTTGATTTCGAAACTTTTCTTACTTTTCTGCATGTCATGACAGGACTCTGTTTATTATCACCCTACTTTGAACCCGACTGGTGCACCACCCCCCGGAAAGCCACCAATGTATAATTCATCTATAGGTACCTCTCTTTTCTTAATGCTGCTTCATACAAATCGAAACTGTCCGTATTCTTACTTCCTTTTTTATATAGAAAAAAAAATCTTAATTAGGATTTTTGTAAACGTTCTACAGGACCTAGAACCTCCGCAGATGGTGCTTCATCTAGCGGTGCTACATTGTCTTCTAATATCGAGTCAGAAGATTCCGTCTTAGTTGCTCCTCCTCCACCTCCTCCACCTCCTCCACTTCCTCATCTTCCGGATGGAAATACTACATTATCTGCTTCTTTGCCCCTTCCGCCTCCACCTCCTTTGCCGCCAACTACAGGACTTAATTTGCCCCATCCACAATTTCCACCACCGCCTCCGGGACCCCCTCCAAAAGAGCATGATCTGGTTCGTCCTCCTCTTCCTCCACCTCCTCCACTTCCTCAGTCTTCCCAACCGCCTCCTCCGGGTCTAAGTGGTAGTGAAGGCGATGGTAGATTCCCTGAACTATCAAATCAAACTTTCGACGAGCACAAGGTAATAACCTCATTCTGTTATTAATAGCTGTCTGAAATTGGTCCAATTGACATGATTTCGTCTGCCAAATGGAGAAAGATTGAAACTTGATTACATTTTTCTCATCTCCGTTGTGCAGAACACTAATATAACTTCCATCCTTCCGCCTCCACCACCTGGCCTTCCCTCAAACCCTCCAAGCAACGAATCTGAGGGTGGTCCATCAGAATCTAACAGCAGTGGTTTTCAAAACGCTAACCTCTCTAAGATGGTTGCACCACCACCACCTTTACATCAGCAACATCAATCAACATTTGCAGGAGCGTCGGCTTCATTGACTAATTTTCAACCTGATGTTCTTCTGCGTCCAGGAATGTTGCATTTTCCACCTCCACCACCTCCACTCGATATGCATCCTCCTCTTCCTGGAATGGTGGGCGGTCATCTAATCCCGAGGCCACCGTATGGCCCACCACCTGGACCACCACCTATGATGAGGCCGCCGCTTCCACCGGGACCACCGCCGTCTAGTTTTCACGACGGTCAAGCAATGATCAGACCATATGTGCCAAACAAACCATCTTATGTAAAATCCGCTGCTCCTACCGTTGTCAGGAGACCTCTCGCTCAACACACACCTGAGCTTACATCCATGGTGAGTTAAGACATAATTTCACTACAGTTTTTTTGTATATCTCATGTATATTTCAGTGCACCGAGTCAAATGGTTTATTTGATGTTATTGATGTGCAGGTCCCTGCCTCGGTTCGAGTCAGGAGGGAATCAGCAGCAGTAAGCAAACCGAAACCAAAGACTGCGGTAGCCACGAGCTTGAGTTTTACACCTAGAGCTATGGCTTCTGCTGCACCGGTGAAGGTAGAGTCAGCCAAGACATCTGCAGCTTCAAAGCCACAGAGCATTGACGATTCTTACACAGCTTTCTTAGAGGACATGAAAGCTCTTGGAGCACTTGATGGTTAGGCTTTGGGACTTGTGGCTTTGAAAAACAAAGTGATTTTTTGTTTGTTTTGTGTTGTCGTAAAGATTGTTCTTTGAACATACACGCTGACAGTTTTTTCTGAATTACCGATTCTTGAAAAAGGGAAATCAGTTTATCTTTTTGAGTTTCTACTTTCTAGCAACATATTTGAAAACATGAGCCAATTTAGAATTGCTAGAGCATTAAATATTAACGAGATCAACAGAACATGTGGTTTACATTCTTACCAATAAATTGGGTAAGAAAAAAGGTCAATAATTGGTTTAAAAATTCCCTTCTCTTGATTGTGATGTGCTTGAATCGATTTCTTGTTATTTTGTCATTTATAGTATACCTACTTCTTTCCACTGCGGAAAAAATATCCTTTGGTATAGATGGAAACTGTTATCCAAAGAACTGATGTATGTGCAAACATTTTTATCAGATCATAGATAAAATATCCATGAAAATATTATTAATGAAAAATCTCCATCCCGGTTAAACTCATAACCCGTATTGCAAACCATGTACGGATGTCTAACCAGGATGGTCTCATGATGATGTAGATATTTTTAGGTCAACAAAGACTTCAGATAGGAGACAAAAAATTGGAAGTGGGTAATACGGGAAATGGTCCAGTTCGTGCGTTCATTAAAGCAATTTGTGTTCTTTAGTCAAAAAGTAAAAAGCAAAATCTTATCTACGTTCGATAGTGATACATATAAATAGTGTGTGAATATAACCGTAAAAATTCTCAACACCTAACACCACAAAAACAGAGCTTGTGCGCTTTTCATTTTGCACTTATTTTCTTATTCATACATCTATGCATTGAGAACGCATTACACTATACTAATATAATATATTACTTTTTGGCCGCCGAACGAAAGGAATTACTATGTGCAAATCCTCATGGAAGCAAGCAACTATCCATTTCTAATAAATCAAGTGGTGACGCATATTTTCTCAACAAACTAACAAATGAATTTTGAAAACCGTGCAAGTGTTTATACAGAGTCAAACCCCTAAAGAAAAAATACTATACAAAATACAAACAATATCTTGTTATTAATGTACAGTTATTCCATCACCTTCACGGACAAAACATATACGTTTCGTATCATTTTGTCATGGATAATGAGTGCTTTCTAGTCCGGTAATTATTATCAGTTTTGATTGAGAGAAATGGAAGATTTTCATTACATAGATTAAGATTCACATGACATTACAGTGAAGCTTACTGATTAGCTATTTTCAAGAGGTCAAAAAGCCAAGTAGAACTATTTTACCTTCTAGAATGCATCCATCATAGACGAATTAAAATATATATAGACGAACTATATACTATGAGTCTATGACAATTGATAAGATGTAGACTATTTCAAAAGTCAAATGGGTTCATTAATGGAAAAAAGTCCATGGCGTTGAATAAACTAAATTGTCGTAAAGTTAGTAAGAAATATGAAATGCAATGTACGTGAAAACATCGAGAAGAAAATCCATCGCGCCATTAATTTTCATTTTCTTTGCTCGAGGCCAATTTTATTTTACCCCCCAACTAGATCTTTGACATGGCTTCAGGCTTCTAGCTAATTTGAATTAATCCCATCATTTTCTATGTATCAAATTCTTACGTAAAAAAAGAAAAAAATTGTTTAAACTATATTGTCTTTAAAATAATTATTTAAAATCCATTGACAAATCAAGAATCCCACCATGAATGTTTTTTTTTAAACGAGTTTTGGGTTTTTCCACTGTTATTGTAATAATTTTTAGCCATAGCCACCCGCTAATACTTTTAAATGGCAAAAAAACTCAAATATCTGTAGGTTTCGAGAGAATAACTACACAAAAATATTTTTTTTTTGGCCATCTTTTTTCAGTTGGAAATATAGGCTCGTATTCGTACGAAAAAACTAGAACGCCATCAATAAAATAAGAGAAAACGTGGAAGAGTGAAATTTTCTGACTCGCAAATATGAATGAAGATTACGCTTTACCTTTATCAAAAAAAAATTTAGGCGACTTTTCAAAGTCAGAATCCTTTTAAAAAATTCGTTTCCGTAGTGAAGATTTTTTGCGTCTCATTTTTTTTGTTCGAGACACAATAATTTTTTACCTTTTGTTTTTAGCCTATAATTATTAGGCCATAACTAGTTATAACTAGTTTAAGAGAGAAAAACACTGGTTAGACCTGCGAATTATAATTAAAAGTTTTTGGACCACGATTCAATCTGCTCCGACATGGCCCGCTTTGATATGTCGAGTTATAGCTTTATATTTGGCTCTAAGTTTCTTTTTGTCGTTATTTGGCTCTAAGTTAACGATGGATTCTTTAATATAATAGTCGTATAGTGGGTTGTCCTTTTTTTTTGAATGGCATAGTGGGTTGTTCAAATTATTCGGTAGTCTTTAATATGTGATCATCTCAGTTTTAAAAAGTGTTTAGTAGGTTTGCATGTATTTTTGTATATGACTAATTGATAGGAGTTATGTTTCTTATCAATTACTAACTAATAAGAGTTTATACTTCATTTTTTTAGTTTTTGATCGTGGCTCGTGAGTTAGAGTTTTTGTCTGTCACGAATGGGAGCTTACGCACTTGTTCTACTAGACTACTAATTCTACTTGGGTCGAGAAAATTCGTTCTGATGGTTGTGTTTTTTTAAAAAATTAGACGGTGATCACTATCTTGTTTTTCTTTTCTTTTGGTAAAATAACTATCTTGATTTTTGAATAGTGGGCAATAATTGATTAGCGTTTAGTCGACTACTATTATTTTGCTAACAGTGTATCAGTGGACGTACGTGTTGGGACTAAAATTGTAACATCCCTATCCCAGGTTCCTAAGAGAGCGGGGAACCGGATATGTTAGATCGGTCATTGAACCGCGTTTGATAGGATGTCCGATTTGGTGAACACACAGAATCGCCAGGAAAACGTCCAGGTAACAATCAACAACACAGACTTAAACTGATCTCTCTACTAAACCTGAAAAACAAGGAGAGAGGAGGGGTGAGTAATTGAGATTACTCAGTGAGGATGGGCCTTAAGAAGGCCCACAACATCATCGAACTAGCATAAATTGGTTTTAAGAGATCTAATCCTAAAGCAAGCCCAAGCAACACATATATATATATATATATATATTTACTTATATATAAACACTTCGTTCCTAACAATCAATCACACAGCAATCAAGGGTAACCCTACAAGCAACTACACAAGCAGCGAGTCCCTGGACTTGGCAGTTACGGTGGGCTGCCACATGGGCCCCCATGCCTCACCCGGAAAGACAACCAGAATAATCCCATCCAATGGCTGGCCTATTACCATACCCATTAGTCAGGTTCACTCTGCCAGTCACACAGACTGATCCCAACAATCACCAAGACAGGCTATGAGCTAACGGTCACTCAGACGGCTGCTCAAAGCGGTCACCCAGAAATCTGTACCCAGCGGTCCCTTTGGACGGCTCAATAAATAGTGGATCGCTAATCCACTCCAGCGATGGCTCTAGCCGTGCCTCACACGACAGCGATAGCCAACAAACAACACTGACTCCCGCCTCCGGGAGCCAGGGGCCCTATCAGAGATCTATATGCACAATCATCCATTTCAAAGAATCATCCATTTCTTAAAGGTCCTTCCATTATTAAGATGCACTTTCGGTGATACCAATTGTAACAAAAAGGAACAATAATCAGGTTAACATCACACAATCAATATTTTAAAGTCCAATAAGTTTAGATCCAAGTTCAGGTTAATTATCTCATTCCACCAGCAACCAGCAATCATCAACAAACATGCAACATAGATCCAGGTCCTAAACAATTCTAACAGCCCTAACAAGCAGATCTAAGCCTGATCTAAGAAAATGTCACTTAAAAGACAACCATGCATATGTAAGAGAGGATGAAGCCACAGAGCCCTCACCTTGGCTTAGAAGGTTGAGAGACTGGAGGAGGAGGCAAAGGAGAAGGAGATCTAAGAGGAGATCCATCAGAATCAGATCCCATCTCACCCAAAGGAGAAGGAGGCGGCGCAGACATCACGGCTGGGCAAGGAAGCTTCGGCGGCGAGAGAGGCTTGGAGGATGGCGGCGGCCGCGGCAAGGAGAGAGAGACACAGCCAAGAGAGAGAGACACAGCCAAGAGAGAGAGAAAGAAGGAGAAGAAAATTCAGAGAGAGAGGAAGAGAGCAGCTCGGCGCAGGGAGGAGAGAAAGAGAGAGGAAAAAGGTGGCTAGGGTTGATTATTTTAGGATTTAATTAGGTATTTATATGGAGGTTAAATAGATGGGCCAGGCTTAATGGGCTCTTAGAAAGAAATTAGAAAAAACCCAAATAAAAAAGAAATAAAAAGAAAAAGAAATAGAGATGATTTAATTAAATAAAACCGGAATTAGGAACTGGTAACCGATATTTGGTTAACCAAAAGCCGGAATGTTACAAAAATCGTATATACATCACATGCCAATTTTGGAAGACAGAAAACTATGACATAAAGATTTTATTAAATAAACTTTGTAAAGCGGGTGAGAAAAGGGAAATGCAGAGCAAGATTAAAAAAATAAAAAGATAATGATTGAAGCCTGAAAAAAATGTTCACATGGACGACTAAATTGACCTACTGTTCATGTTGGGTAATTTCATATTCTGCTACACTATTAGCATGGTTTGTATTCTCTTTACAATAATTAACCCAAAAGAAATAGATAACAGAATAATATACATAAATACGAATATACAATATATGTAGCTGTTAATATATTTTGTTACTGAAGCAAGATCATCTTATTTTCTGACTTACAAAAACTAATGATTTCAAGAGATGACTAAAATTTTCGAAAAAATACAATCTAAATATACAAAAACCAATGCAAACCCGTTAATTTAATGAGTTATCCATCTAGTTTTGAAAAACTATTGTTTAAATTCATCATCATAAATGAGTTAGAAAAATAGAAGTTGATGTGACATATCTTTATCTTAGGGCATGTCTAATGGAGGTCTATGGCCCGGATCCATTGGTAAAATATGATCCAAAAATAAAAAAGAATTGGGCTTTGGATATGGGACATCCCTTGTATAAGTGTTTTAAGGGGTGACCCTTATGCGACGTGGCAAGTGAAGATTGGCCCATTTTTTTAACATTCTCTCTCTTTGGGGAAAAAAATTCCCGAGACTTCCCATTTTGTTTTGTTCTTGTTTTTATCAGCCAATTTTTTTTTCCCACCAGCGATCAATTTCTGTGAGTTCGAAGACGATTTCATTGTTTTTGTTGAAGGCTTTCATCATCTCGAAGTCTCGGTAAGGTATGTTGTGTTAATTTTTCGATTTTGTGTGAGATTTTTGGTGTTTGGCGTTCGAAATTAGGGATTAGGGTTTGTAAAAAATTTAGGCGTTTTCGTTTTAATCGATATTATGATGATTGTTTTGACTAACAATCTACTGTATTAGATGTTTAGACATGATTGAAGTCGAAATTGTTATAGATTGCATGAATTTTTTTCTTGAATCGGTTTTGCAAAGTTCATCAATTTTTTATGAAATGATGAGTGATGAATGATTTCATCAATGAATGATCGGCTTTCAAAGTTTGAAATGAAATGTTATAAATTCAAAGTTTGAAATGAATGGTCGACATTCTTTCAAAGTTCATCAATTTTTTTTTGAAATGATGAATGATCGGTTTTGCGAAGTTCTTTGAGTTTAGGATGACATCGCAAGTTTTGTGTGTTTCTTTGATCCTTTTTCTTTCATTAATGTTTTCTTCTTTGTGTGTTTTCTCTAATAAATTTTTCTTTGATGTGTTATGTGAGGTAAACCGTTGGAAAAAGAGAGAAGCCAGCTTGTCAAGCATCGATGCAGTGTCACCGAACCCAGGTACATCTTTAGAACTTGTTAGCTGTATAGTTAGGTTGATGGCCGTATAGTTAGCTTTATAGTTAGGTTGATGGTTGTTTGTGTTAAATGCTTGATTAAATGGTGGTTGATGTGTTTGGTTAGGTGTCCAATCTTGGTTATCAATGCTTTGCTTGGTAGGTGTTTAGGTTTGTGGTAATAATAACTACCGATAAATGCTTATCAGTGATGACTAAAATAAAAGACTTCCGATTTAAAAGACTTGAAGATGAGAATGACAAACTTTTAAAAGACTTCAATATTATAAACTGTCAAGATTAAAAGACAACAAAATTAAAAGACTTTAACCTAACAAACCGATAATAAAAGTATCCAAAACACTCTTAATAAAACTTCAATCTAACTCTTGCTTCTTTCTCTCATAACTCTTGCTTTTTCTCTTCACTCTTGCTTTTTTCTCATAACTCTTTCTTCTTTCTCTTAACTCTTGCTTTTTTCTCATAACTCTTTCTTATTTCTCATACCTTTTGCTTCGCACATCTTCTATCAAAACTCAACGACCATAAAAAGCTTCTTTCCTTATCTGAAACCCTTCAAACACTCCTTATTTCCTACTCCTTTAAATCGCATTAACTGTAAAACTCTTTCTATGGATTCTACAAACCCAAACCCTTCAAACATGCCAAGCTTTGTCAATCTCCTAACTAGTCAACTAAACCCACATACCATTGAGCTTGGATCATCAGAACTACCTCGGTTTAGTAGCCAGTGTTCTGATGATCCAGGTCCACCAACTGAAGACCGCAAAGAAAGGAGGAAGTGGAGTCCTAAGGAGGACCTAGTGCTGATCAGTGCTTGGCTCAACACAAGCAAAGATGCAGTCATCGGAAACGAGCAGAAGGGTGGAGCATTTTGGAAAAGAATCCAGACGTATTATAACAACAGTCACCAGCTGCTTGGTGAGAAACCGAGAGAGTGGAAACCTCTCAAACAACGGTGGAGCAGGATTAATGAGCTTGTTTGCAAGTTTGTTGGTTGTTTTGAGGCTGCGAAGAAGGAGCAAAGAAGCGGTCAAAATGAGAATGATCTCATGAAGGCAGCTCATGTGATATTCTATAATGACCATCAGATCAAGTTTACTCTTGAACATGCTTGGCGAGAGCTTCGCCATGACCAAAAGTGGTGCTCAACACCAGCTGTGATGGATCTTGGAAGTGCTAAAAGGAGAAAGGTGGACGAGGGTTTAGCTCAGCCACAAGATGCTTCAACGGTTAGACCACCGGGTGTGAAGGCTTCTAAATCTGCTAAGGCTGCACCGCAGACAAGCGGTAAGGAGGCAGAACAGGCATATGCAAACTTCTCGGGAGCCTGGGAAATGAAGAGGAAGGACATGGAGATGAAGGCTTATGTTTCAAGACACAAAATGCTAGAGAATCTGCTAGCAAAAACTGAACTTTCAGAAACGGAAGTGGCTTTTAGGGATAAGTTAATTAGAGAAATGATGTAATAAGTATAATGTTTAGGGTTAAACATTTTGTATGATCATGTTAAGTGATCTTTATTTTCTAGTTGCTTGTATGCTTTAAAGCTTTCCTCGGTTTGAATGTATGAACTTGCGGTTTGAAAATATATGGGCCGATGTTTGTTTTGCTCGATGGTTTCTTAGCCGATGTTTGTTTTGGCCCATCTCTTTTTCTGTTTTGGACGACATAATTTAATGAGTTGGCTTTTAATGATTTGCAGGAAGCAATTATTTGGAGAATCGAAGACATGGTGTACGCATAATTGAAGGTGACAGAGTTCACGGGATTCACTTTACGTTTGGGTCCCAATTTTCATTTGTCCTTTTATAATGTAGACCACAATATGTTGTAAAAAAATAGCACCATATATTGAATGGAATGTGTACAATTGTAAACCACAAAACAGCATTTGGTTTATGTATCACGGGATTCAATTATTTACTTCTATATATTTGTTCATAAAACGTTGCATCTCATTTATTCAAGATACAAGTCCTCTGAAATATTTTCTATCAAACACCGCTTCTCTTTCTCTAATCTTTTCTAGCAAACACCGATTCTAAAATTTCATCTCTCCTATTTAAACAAAAAAATGGCATCATCATCATCAAACAACAATGACTTTGAAGACTTTGAAGGAGCACATGATGACAACAATGACTTTGAAGACTTTGAAGGAGCACTTGATGAGGCTGTTGATGAGGCTTTTGATCAACAATTCGATAATATGTTCAACCACTTTCTTGCTCTTCACTCAACTAGTCAAGCAACAGCAAGGACATAGGCAAAGAAGAAACGAGCATACATTGAAAGAGAACGTGAACAAGGCCACATCCGATTGTGGAATGACTATTTCAGTCATGATGCGATTTACCCGGAACATCTTTTTCGACGGCGATTTAGAATGAACAGACCATTGTTCATGCGTATTGTTGATCGCCTCTCCACAGAAGTTCCTTTCTTTCAGCAAAGAAGAAATGCTGCCGGGAGGTTTGGTCTATCTGGACTACAAAAGTGTACGACCGCAATTCGTATGATGGCTTATGGTTGTGCGGCTGACGCGGTTGATGAATACCTCCGGCTTGGTGCGAGTACTGCGATTTCATGCCTGGAAAATTTTACAACAGCAATAATAGATTTGTTCGGAGATGAGTACTTAAGAAGACCAACAGCAGACGATCTTCAACGACTACTCGATAATGGCGAGTCGCGCGGGTTTCCCGGGATGATAGGAAGCATCGATTGTATGCATTGGGAGTGGAAGAATTGTCCTACTGCTTGGAAAGGACAATATACTCGTGGTTCAGGAAAACCAACAATTGTCTTAGAAGCTGTCGCATCACAGGATCTTTGGATATGGCATGCGTTTTTTGGACCTCCAGGTACATTAAACGATATCAATGTTCTAGATCGTTCACCTGTCTTTGATGATATTTTGCAAGGACGAGCTCCAAAAGTTAACTACTTCGTCAACGGACACGAGTATCATCTGGCGTACTACCTTACAGACGGCATTTATCCGAAATGGGCTACTTTTGTCAAATCTATTCCACTCCCTCAAGATCCAAAAGCATCAAAATTTGCTACATGTCAAGAATCTGCCAGAAAAGATGTTGAGCGTGCGTTTGGAGTTTTGCAAGCTCGATTTGCAATTGTCAAAAACCCAGCTCTTATTTAGGATAAAGCAAAAATTGGAAGGATTATGAAATCATGTATCATCCTACACAATATGATAGTAGAAGACGAACGAAATGGATACACTCTAGCTGATGTTTCACAATTTGAACAAGGAGAAGGAAGCAGAACTTCACATGTAGATTCGTCATACTCTACAGAAAGGGCCACAAATATCGGAAATTTGATCGGCAGAAGAACTCGACTTCATGACCGAGAAACAAATGACCAATTACAAAAAAATTTAATTGAGCATATCTGGCATAAATTTGGTAATTCTCACGGTTATAACTAAACGTTTTATGATTTCAAAATCTATATTTCATATGTTTGTTATTTTATGTAATGCAATTTGTCTTTTGATTTAATAAAATATGATGTTTTATTTTAGTTATTAATAAAATTATTTATGTTAAAAAGAAGTAATTCATAAATAAAAATTAAAAAAAAAAACTTAAGGACTCCTAAAAGAAGCTCACCATTGGTGATTGGAGAACCAAATCCAAAAAGAATCCTTAACTTTAATTAAATTTTAAATTTATATAAAAATAATTTTAAGAGATTCTTAAGGAGTCCCTCCATTGGACATGGTCTTAGAAGTTAAAAGAAGTTCGATAATTTTTCTTAAGAAAAAAAAAAGCAGTTCGATAATTTTGCAAAAATCAAACTTCGAGAGTAGGCTTGACAAATTTTGAATATCCAGTCATATTTTATACTTGAGATAGACAAATTAGCGTAACCGTTTCACCCTATCCAAGAAATTTATTCATTTCTCTCTAAATATTTCTTTATTTTATTTTTGACAAAAAAATTCAACGTGTATTTCGTATTTAGACACCACTATGTTCCTATCTCCTACCAAATATATATACACACATATATATATATATATATATATATATATATATATAGCTTTGAGTCTCGAAAGAGAAAGAGAGAGTTGTATCGCTGCATAGCTCAATGATGGCAAGGACGAATCAAGCCATCACTATCTTCCTTCATGTCTGCTTCTTTCTTCTGCTTCTACTCTCTGCAACAACTTCTCATCCTCTTTGCTCAGATTCAAGTAAGTCCCTTTTTCTTAAGCTAAGTAGTGTTCTGTTTTCATGTCGTTTTGAGTTCAAGTGTTCATGTCGTTTTGTGTTTTGGTCTTTTTCTTTTTTTTTTGTCAGAGACTCAAGTCATCACCAACCAGACGCTTCAGTTCTGCGATTCCTACTCAGGACGAACTTGCTGCAATTCCAAAGATGATACTGAATTGCAGAATCGCTTCAACTCCATGAACGTCTCTGACTCAACTTGTTCTTCCCTTCTCAAATCCATTCTCTGTGCTGTAAGTCCCAACCAATTTCCTTCATTTCCCCTTAATAAATCAACAAAATCGAGATACCCATTATAAAAAGGATCGATCTTTCACTTCACTTACCCATTCACTTGAATTAAAGATTTTGTTTTGAAGCTACTGATTCTGAATCTCTGAGTTCCCTTATTTCACACAGAGATGTGACCAGTTCTCTGGACAATTGCTTGGTGATGAGACTTCTCCAATTCCAATTCTCTGCAACTCAACTTCTAAAGATTTATGCTCAAAGCTATGGGAATCATGTCACAACATCTCCATTGTCTCTTCTCCCTTTAGTCCAACTCTACTAGGAGGTGCAGCTTCGCCTTCAACCTCCTCAAATTCATCGACATTAACCGATCTCTGGAAATCCCAAACCGAATTCTGTACCGCCTTTGGTGGACCATCTAAAACCAGCAACAACATAACCAAATGCTTTAATGGTAAACCGGTTAACCAAGACACTGGTACTGCGGATGATGTAAAGCCACCTGAAGGGATTTGTCTTGAGAAGATAGGAACCGGGTCTTACCTCAACATGGTAGCTCATCCTGATGGCTCGAACCGGGCTTTCTTCTCTAACCAACCGGGTAAGATCTGGTTAGGAACAATACCGGATCAAGACTCAGGTGTACCGATGGAAATCGACGAATCAACTCCTTTTGTTGACATAACCGATCAAGTCAGTTTCGATACACAGTTTGGTATGATGGGAATGGCATTTCATCCTAAATTCGCAGAGAACGGAAGGTTTTTCGCGTCTTTCAACTGCGATAAAGTCAAGTCTCCTGGATGCTCTGGTCGTTGTGCTTGCAACTCTGATGTGAATTGTGATCCTTCTAAGCTTCCTAAAGACGATGGTGCGCAGCCTTGTCGTTATCAGACCGTCGTGGCTGAATATACCGCGAATGGTACTTCTTCGAGCCCTTCAACGGTAAGTTTCAAACAAAAAAAAAGATATATTCAAGCCCTGTTTTCATTAGTATCCGAGTTTCTTGGAGGTCAAGATTCTCTAGCAAAGATTGTTGCATTTCTTGTGTGTGTAGGCAAAGACTGGCAAGGCATCTGAAGTGAGGAGGATTTTCACAATGGGACTTCCTTATTCGTCATCTCACGGTGGTCAGATTCTCTTTGGGCCTGACGGGTATTTGTATCTCATGACTGGTGACGGAGGAGGAGTTTCTGATACTCACAACTTTGCACAGAACAAGAAGTCTTTGCTTGGCAAAATCTTGAGGCTTGATGTCGATGTTATGCCAAGTTAAGTGACGAGACCAATTGTATCGTAAAGTCTTGATTCGGTATGTTTTTTTTATTATTCTTATTTTGTTTTATGTGGTTAAACTCTGCAGGTGTATCTGAAATCTCTAAGCTTGGTTTATGGGGAAACTACTCCATCCCAAAGAGCAATCCTTTTCAAGGCAATGAAGATCAACAGCCTGAGATTTGGGCTTTAGGGCTTCGAAATCCATGGCGTTGCAGCTTCGATTCCGAGAGGCCAGATTACTTCTTGTGCGCAGATATTGGAAAGGTTTGGTTTTTTTCTTCTTCTTACGGTTTAAGAATCAAACTCTGTGATGATGCAGAGTTTCATAAGAAAAGATTTTTAAAAATGTAACAGGATACATATGAAGAAGTTGATATCATAACAATGGGTGGAAACTATGGCTGGAGAATCTACGAAGGACCTTATGTTTTCTCTCCTTTATCTCCTTTTGGAGAGAATGTTTCTGCGGTTTCAAACCTGACTTTCCCCATTCTCGGCTACAACCACTCTGAAGTTAACAAACATGAAGGATCTGCTTCCATCATTGGAGGTTACTTCTATCGATCCCAAACTGATCCTTGCTCTTATGGCACGTAAGATCAAACACTAAGCCCTACACTCTAATGTACATTAATTGTAGTAATCCTAAACCTTAAAGATTCCTAAATTCTCAAAACCATTTTGTTTTCAGGTATTTGTATGCAGATCTTTATGCAAACGCAATGTGGGCAGCTATAGAATCACCAGAAGATAGCGGAAACTTCACGGACTCTCAAATACCGTTTAAATGCAGCGAAGGTTCGCCGATGAAGTGCACGGCTGCTCCGGGAGGAGCTGGCTCAGGACCTGCACTTGGTTACATCTACTCTCTCGGACAAGACAATAACAAAGACGTACATTTGCTCACGAGCTCTGGTGTGTACCGAATTGTTCGTCCTAGTCGCTGTAACTTTGCTTGCTCCAAGGAAAACACCACTGCGTCTACCGGAAAACAGAGCCCTCCTGGTGCTGCTGCTCCTCCTCCTCAGCCTTTACCTTCTTCTGCAAGAGAGCTCTGTTTCTCTGTCTTTATTTCATTGTTGTTGTTGTTGTTGTTGTCGTCGATGTTTTAACGGTCTTAGAATGCTGATTTGTTATTGCTTCAAACTCTGTTTTGTAACAGTTCTTTTGGATGTTTTTCAAAAACTATTTCATGTTGCTTATACTAGAAGGAAGAAAGCACATAATTAGATGTTGCTGATTTGTTATTGCTTCAAGGGTCTACGTTTTCAACATGTCATTCAAATGGTGAGGCAAATGACTTGAGTGACTTGTTGAAAACGTAGACCCTTGGCCTGTTGTGAACGTTCGGATTCTGCATGTTGTTAAGCACAAGGTTCCTGGAAGCTTCAAACTTCAACTCTGCAACTCTGAGAGCGTCTAGGAGAGTCCATGTCCCAGCGATCTCAGACGATGTATAACCCTGATCGCCCCATGGAAGCAACGAAACCGCCATTTTTGTTTCTTGTAAGGTTTTTTGGTGTAAAGAGATGATGTTCCTCTCATCATTTATGGACCAGTAGAGAATCTAATTGATTGGATAACACCAAAATGTGTACGAAAATAGAGGAATCTTTGTTCTGAGCTCAGATGAAAAACAGAGACTCCTCTCATCCACTTCAAGCTTTCATGGCTCAAGGATCGAGGGTTTTCGCAATGGAAATTGCGTGACTGAGAAGAAGTTGACGATGACTGGTAATTTACTATTTTCCCCCTTATGATGAATTAATGTGTGTCGCGATTTAACTGTTTAAATTTCTTATATACAGTTGTCAGTTAGACGCATCACTTTTATATAATAAGATCTCAAAATATATGTTTTTATTTTTAATAATGAATTGTCAAACGTTCATTTAAAAAAGACAATTCTAACATTGCCAAAAGTTAAAAAGTCAAATTCCTGTACTAATAATGTAAATAATACAAATGCTACCATTTTAATTTATTTTCCTTTTACTTAAAAAATTCCTTTTTGTGCTCTCTTCTAATATAAGCAATCTATAAAATAGGTTTTTTTTTTCCTTAAAACATGTATTGGGATTGTAATAAAGAGTTTGAAACAATAACAAATTATCATTTTAAGACTGTTAAACGGCAATGACATAAACACCGAAAAGAAACAGAGCTTTCTTGCAGAAGAAGGTAAAGGCCGAGGAGGCAATGCACCAGGAGGGCTCTGTTTTCTGATAGAAGCAGTGGTGTTTCCCTTTGAGCAAGCAACGTTAATTACAGTGACTAGGATTCCGTAACTTGGTTTTCATTAATCAAATCTAGAAACTAAACAAGCTTCAAACTTGGTTAAAATGCAATTTAAACAAGTAAATTTGGCAGTGTTGGGGGGAAGAAACACTTGGTGCAAATACATTGTCTCAAGAAACATTTTGCAACTTTACAGTCAGAACAATTCTTACGGCAAATGTTGTCGTCATCGCAAGGCTCTCATCCACGTCCACCTTGAGTCGTTGCATCTCTCATTTCTCCACTAAATCTTTCTCTTCTAACACGTAAATTTGGTTTTGGAGGGTTACATCGATCGCAAACACACTGTTGGAAAATACATTTTGTTATCGCACAACCTGGACATGTAGCACGACAAGTCTTATCGTTGTTGCAAGTTCCTCCACGTTGTATCGTTACATCTTTCACGTCTTCCCCAACGTTTGCATCTCCCTCCAATGCTTTAGCTACCCACAAACCTTTATGTAACATAAAAGAGATTTTTAATTATTACCATTTACCAATATGTGGTGAACAAGAGTTCACAATAGTTCAATATATACTGATATACATATGTCTGAGTCTTGCAATTATCACGTAAAGAAAATATAAGAAAATGTGAAAATGTGATAAGTTAAAGATTTGGCTCACATGAAAGAGATATCAAAAGGCCAAGAAGAAGTACTTTCCTTGACGCCATGTCTCCGTTTTGATAATATTGATGGTTTTTTTTTAATGCATTCATTCCATATATATACTCAATATTAGTCAACATTAATATTCAATCTTAGTCAACATATTTAATTTGTTCAATATATTTAATACTCAATACTCAATCTTAGTCAACATATTTAATTTATTACTCTTTCTGTTTCACAATAAGTGATGTTTTAGCAAAGAAACAAATGTTGTCTCGATTTATATGATATTTTCAATCTTTAATATAAATTATTTGCTTAGACTTTCCTCAGTTGCAAGGGTTTAACTGTTTAAGATAATGATTTTTGCATAAATTTCCAACTGTTGATCTTTGCAAAAGTGACGACCTAGACTATGCCGAAATAATAAGAAAAGAAAAATGTTTATTATTATGACCTGATCATCACAAATTTGGATAAATATTATAATTTACATGTAAATTTAGTTGTGGAGGGTTACATTTAGTACAAACACATTGGTTGAAAATACAGTGTGTGATAGCACACCCCGGGCAATGATTATGACAAGTATTCTCGTTGTTGCAAGGCCCTCCACGTTGTATCGTTACATCTCTCATTTCTCCACTAAGTCTTGCTTCTCCCTCCAATGCACCTATATATATATACACACACATAACGATGCTTGAATAGTTACGAATATGATGCATTAAGGTTTCGTAAAAGCAACGAACATAGTATTTCAACGATTCATTTACATAAAACTTTGAATGAAAAAATTATGGTAAGAGTAGTTTAAAGTATCTCTATGAATTTTGAAAATCTAGAGTAACAAGTAACAACTAACCATTGGGTAACAAAATAAAAAAGGATTAACAACTAGAACCGGAATTGACAAATTGGCATTACTCAACGCCCTTGCGTCTTTCAAAAGCAAAATTGATAGTTTTATAATCATCTCAATTTGAATTTATTTTGATTTTAGTGTTGGTTACAGAGAAACTATATCATCTAACATTTTATTTCTATGGTCTTGTTGTTAACGACAAGCTATTTAAAAAAAAAAAAGAAAAAAGAAACAGTTGACTTGCATTTGGACATCAGCTATCATGTAAAGAATATTTTGGGAAATAAATGGGATGGAATGAACTTTAAAGTTGGAAGATGGACTCACATGAAAGGGACAACAAGACGGCAAGAAGCACAACTTTCCTGAACACCATTTGCTCAATTTCTTATAGTATTGTTTCTCATTAATCAAACACATTCTTCATATTTTTATATACAATTGTACGTACGTATACGACAAGCGCTGATTTCTTACCAATAATATACAATTACTTATTTATATTGCAACGGCAGGTTTAAGACAGAAGATTTGGAAGATTCACATAGATTTTTGACATGAAATCTCCATAAGTTTTACCTTTGAAAGAAAAAACCTCGGATTAACAGCTTTGACAATTGATTCAGATTTTTTTTTTTATTATTCTGAAATTAATGTTCTTAAAACTTCTAAATCAATAGAGATTAGGTATTTATTATTAGAATCAGACAATTGTTACAATCAATATTTTGAATAGAGAAAGAAACTGAAAGATTAATTTAGTTTTGAGCTCTCATACTTTCAAAAGTAGCGTAGATGATATCAAGTAACCCTAAACAAAACAAAAGAAAGTTTATCAAAGGCAATGTGGAAATATATTGTCTACATGGAGATCAGTAAAATTACATGAGGCAGAGGCAGATGGTATTGGACCAGTAGATAGAGTGGCAGCATGACCGAGAGATAGACCGGCAGAAAGATGAGGGACTGCAAAAATTGATAAAACAAACAGAATGATCGAGTCTCTGTCTATGAGAGAAACCATTGCATCATCCTTTAAGGTTTGAACGAAATTCAGAAAGCTATGAACATATCCAGCCATGAACTATAAAAATATTTTAACACTGAGTACTCCTAACAAGTATTATAACACTAGACAACTATCAATAAGAGATCAGAGAGAAATCTATCTCCAAGTATTTATGAACGGATAACAAAGGAGATATGATTATGAAAGGATCTTAGTAGACTTGACGGTTCTATGATTATGAAATGATGGGTTTATAGTTCAGATTCTTATTATTTCTTGAAACATTATCACCTTCGATGATCATAGACTTCATGTTCTCTTCAAATACATTGTCATACTTTTGTATCTCCCATGAATTCACAGAGAGTTTGAATTATTTGGGATATTTCTTGGCTATTGGAGATAGCAACCAAATGTATGAGCTTCGCCTGATGGAAATAGGTTAATTTTTTGGGCATGTTCAAAAATTGGTCAATAAAAAAACTAGATCTACTGATTGATAAACATTGCATTTACATGTTAAAACTAATATCTAGCAAATTACATGTTCTTATTGTCAATTACCTTGTTGATTAGGAGGAGAGGGCGGAGCTTCAGCGATCGGATCCACAGTCGCAGCTACACACACAGAAGGACAACAGTGTCATTAGAGATTGATCAGAAGAAAAAGAAGAAGATATGCCTAGATATTAGAACGAATTCAAAGTAATACGTACCTGGAACTCTCTTCTTACGCTTGAAGAAACAACGCAGAAAGGTTCGCTTGAAAAACTTCATCGTCATAATTTTGAAATTCAAATTCTAAGAAGCGTGAGAGATAGAAAATGAGAGAGCTAACATTACATTTATAGGAGAACGTTTCAGATTCCAAGTTTTAAAAATAATTGAAAATAATTAGATCAATTTCGTAAATAGTATTATCTTACAGTGTTTAAAAAGCGGGATTAAGCTAGGGCGAAATTTTTTGTATATTTGTTTTTCCCTCCTGAGTGGAGAAACAAAAAATTTTAAAATTTGTGAAGTTACATTTTTCCCTCCTAAACCTAAACTATTTAGCTGTTAACAAAAACGCATTGGATTTTTGTTACTTGAATTAAATGAATACGCATTGGATTTCAATTCAGTCACAAGAAACAGCATAAAAGTGATGGTGAATCGACCAGCGTCAAAAAGATTGGTCTAGGCATAAACTGTACCAAAGAATCTTCTACAAAAGCGAATGTTGTCCGGTAAAACAACGTACGTAGGCTGGCTTAACAGAGCAAGCTTTAATGCCAAACAAATTTTTAGTCTCTATTCTTGATAAATAATACTATTACACATGTAGCTACAATGGTTAATAAGTAATAATTACATAAGAATGTGATTGAAAATGTATGGGGATTTGTTGATGAAGGGTTGTATATTTATTTGCAATTTGAAATTAAAATATTGACATCTGTCACTTCAAAATTCATAAACAACAAAGGGTATGAATTTGATCATTTGAGTTTTGCTTCTTTTTTCGCATGAGTGATGGAGAGTAACAAGGTAGGCAAGCTTGTGCCTCTGCTTACTGAAGCTGGTGCTATCGCAAATAACTCTTCCCAGCTTTGATGAAACTCTGAGACCGTTACGTGTCTTAACAGAGAAAGGAAGTGGAGAAGAGTGTTGTGTTTATATTGTCAAGTAACCAAATAAAGACAGAGCTTTGTCGTTGTCAACTTTGTTTTACAAACAAAACACCCAAGTCTGTTCATGTTTGGGGTTTGATTTACGGGAAACTGATTTGAGTAAAAATTGCTAATGTGTTGTTACCAGAAATTTTCCAATAAGATCTCTAAAATAGATACATTATTCTGTTTTCATTTGTCAAAAAAAAAAGAAAAAAAAGATTTTCTTTCCTTGTTGAATTTTCAATTAGTAGTCTAGTATACTACAACCAAAGTTATCTGCTATAAAATGCTACCGAAAAAAAAAACGCTCTTCGAATTTCTTCCAAACCAAAGAGAAACAGAGTGTTTTGGTTTGTGTCATCTCATGTTGCAGCACTGAGGTTTCCCTGTCAAAACCAACTTATCCCACAAGCAAATCATCTGTCTCGGCGACTGATAATGCGCCGTCAAGTAATTCTCTATGCAACCAAACTGACAAAACTTGAGGCTGTGAATGTAATCCACCGGTTTGGTCCCGTTGTTGAACTGTTCTACCCACATTCCCACACTCACATCTTCCATTTTGAACATCTGTAGTATCAAGATTGAGAAAGAAGGGGAAAAAAAAAACAGAGTTAAATACATGCTCTGTTTCGAAATGATTAGATAAAGGGTTGGTTGGAAATTTCAGTTGCGGTGTACCCTTAATTTGTGTCTCTCAAACTCTTTTACGATGAAGCGAGAGATATCGTTTGATAATATGTACCCCGGGCCATTAGCATAAGGTGGATAGTCTTCCTCTGGCCATTCCTGAGAAAAAAAACATATAAATATAAACTTTTGATTTCAAATGAAAAACAAGCTGATATACTGATTCTCTAAGCCAATGATGATAATTTTTTACCTCGTATGTAACAGCCCATTTACCCTGGCGGAGCGGTTTGTGATAATAATTGATGTTGCCAATGTATAGACTTGTATCCGCAGGTGTTTTCTTAGCTTCCCTTAGAACGGCATCGACTCGTACAAATGTGTCATCATCACACTTCATGATGAATTTAGCAGCTAGCTGATGAGCCTGCAAAACAGATAAATCAAGAAACTCCTTTACTGGTATTGATCACAATGAAAACATGGCATCAAGTGTTGATTCTTCGAATCAGCGGACTCACCCCGTACTCGCAGATTGCTACTGTTTTGAGGACAACAAGGTCATAACTGTCCATGTAAGGGACTATAACTATGTCCCCAATGAATTCAGCCTCCTTCTTTAGCTCCACATTCACTTCCTTCCTCGAGTGCTGCCCAAATAAATATCAATTTTTAGCTCTTAAGATCTAAACTAGATGACCAAGATCAGACCAGAACAGATCACTTGTAAACATAATCTAAACTTACCAGCGCAACAAAGAAGCGAGCCACTACTTTAGAAGATTTAACTAGTTTATGTTGCATCCACGACTTCCTCACAGCCATCCGTTCAGCAAAATGGTTACCAGCAGAGAGGATGCCAATGAACATATCAACTTGCTCCTCATGAAGTGATGGGGCTTGCCAATTGCTCGAGAGCTCAAGATACCTCTGAGGAGAAAAACTAGGGTGCGAGGTCGGGAGAGAGCCAGCAAACACCGAATGAACATCTATGTCCCCGTTAATGGTTAAGCCAGTACCATCCTCAAGCGTAAATCCCTTAATATAAGAACAACCACAAAGTCAGTTACCACTTTCACACGCCAATTACTAATCAAACCATAACAACAACTTAAGCTTAAGCCTAAACATCGCTTACAGTTCGGTAAGGGAAGGAAGTGATGTGCTTCCCATCGACACTAACATGATAACCTTCCAATCCAGCACTAAGGGTAAGCACGAAAAGCTTGTCAACTGTGAACGGAAATGGCCACTCAACAGTTACTTTCTTGCTCCGACCTATTAATCGACTAAGCCACCAAGTCTCCGCCTTGCTAGACTCTTCTTTAGATGTAATGCTATCATCTCGAGCCCATTTCTCGCACTTAACCTGACCATCAACTACAACCATTCTCGCTAATGAGTATCCTCAACGCAAAATGAAAGATTGATGCTTTTGAACATATAAACTAACCAGTTTCTTCATCGTCCCTAGATCTCCATCCTTCACATCTTTGTGCCGATCCCCATTGCATTCTGTAACAAGTGTTCTGCTCAATCACAGGCTTACCACTCCAATCACCCTTAAGCCTCGGATTCAAGTGGAGGATCCGAGGTGGCTCCTCTCCTTCCACTGCTTTCAAGCCCTGAAGCTCCAACTTAAACTGTGAAACCTTGACAGCTTCATCTCCTTCCTTTAACATCGATATCTTCGGGTCCTTCTCCGAGTGAGCAGCTCGTGGCTTCCCAACCACTGTAATGTGTGATCCGAGAGTTAATCCGCATGGAAGCTCCATGAGGTTCGCACGGTTCGAAAGATCAGACCCGGTTAAGGAAACCGAGAGAGGGCAGGAGCTTGACCCATGTTCCTCAGTCTTCTTCTTCTTCTCCTTCTCCAAGGATTTCAGGGTTTTCCCAGACTCTAGCTCTTCCCATAGCTTTCGACCAACCTCCCAAGCTACCTTAGCGGATTTGTGGAGCTCCACCGACCCATCTTTGCTACCCGGGTTGAATGTTTCCGGGTCGAATTTCAAGCTAGACAGGATCTGGGTCCTCCTTCTTAAACCCTGAGCCGGTGCTTCCGATTCTGATTCCTGGAAAAGCAAGCTCTTTAAGGGTCGACTCGGAGCTCGCCTCTCTTGCAATTCTCGCTGGCTATTGTGCTTCTCGGGTCGGGTTAACGGGTCCTGAGACAGGGAACTGAGCCCGGTTTTGAAGACGAAGGGGATTTCGAATGTGATGAGGAGCATGTAGAGTAACCCAACCGCCATTAGCATCTGAACCGATCTCTGCTTGCTGAGAGAGACGAACATGTCGAATTTCTCCAACCTATCGAGTTTCGATAACTTTGGCTTCCTCATTCCTAAATAAGATGGAGAATCCTAGAAACAGAAACCCTAGAGACTCGAATCGAATTAAAAAGATGATGATCAAGAGGAACGGAATCTCCAAGTTCAAAACTTTCAAACAAACAAAAATATATATGTTGAGAAATCACGAGGAACGATGCCAAGAATCAGATGAGTGATACTAGTAATTCGGAGAAAAATATTCAAAACCCTTGAACACGAAGAGAAAAATCAAGAACTTTCCTTACGAAGAAAAATCGTGGGTGAGAAAATTCAAAACCAAATGAAACGCAAAAGGAAAGACTTTAAACTTCTAGAGAGAGAGAGAGAGAGAGGCGTGTGTAATGGTTAGATGAAGAGAAACAGAAGCAAAAAAAAAAACCGAAACGCGTCAGTAAAATTGGAGGAGGAGGAGGAGGAAGAGGAATAGGAGAAGGAAGAAGACAAAGCCTTTCTCCTTCTAAGTTAGTGCTGCTGACGTCCGAATAAACCGCCGTTCTGGTCCATCTCTTTTTCGAATCTTTTCTTCGCTTTTAATTTTCTCCTTTTTCCTCTTTCTTCTTATTTAATTTAGTTTCCGATTATGTTTTAGATTCCTTGGATTTATCTTTATGGACGGTAAAGATTTAAAAATAGTTTTTGTTTGTTGTAAGGTAAGTCCAAATAAAATTAAGGGGAAAATCAAACTGTTCAATTTTATTATTTTAAATCACATAATCCGTATTTAAAGAGTTTATGCTAAACTGTTAATCAAAGGAGTTGTCTTGATATTAATTTACCCGAGAGTCCGAGACAGAACAAAAAAACATAAGCTATTATTAAACCAATGAGAATCGTATTATTTGAACACGGTTTTATTTTAGTTTAGTATATTCGATTCTTAGTTTTGATTTACATTATTATTGATTAGTGTTATTTAAGCGGTGCTAATTCGGCCAACTGTGTAATTGTATTACTCTGATTGCATCACCAATGAAGTCACAAAAGGTCTATTCCCATGTTATGTTGACTTTTTCTCTCTGGTTTTTTTTTTTTTATAATTCCAAACTGAATTGTCTGTAATTTGATTTGATTTGTTTCTAAACCTTTCTACTTTCAGTTTTGGCATGGGAAACTATGCGGTCTTTTTCTTTTTCTTACATTAAAAAGTATTTTAATCAATCTTCAGGTAGATTATTCAGCTATTCGAACCAACTTATTATTTTTTATAGTTTGAAAAATTTAAAAACAAATCATAATCAAAGTGTTTGTGATCGTAAATAAATCTAATTAAAGTTGTTATAAAGTTTGACATCTAAAATTTAAAGAAATATGGATGGTCCTAAACTCATTATTTCTCCTTCGTTTCATTTTAGTTTTCAATTGGAAACTATATATTTTCACAGTATAAACAATATAAGTCTTTAGTCATCAAAAAATATTTTAGAGTTCTAATTGGGGTAAATACAGAATCGTGCTCAGATATACAGAGCCCGTAGGCGATGTTTAAAAAAGATCATAATCTTTTTCTGTGTGTTAAAAAATTCTAATTAACCATTTTCATGTTGTATTTATATAAAACTAATCTAATTCATATAAAAGAAATAATAATATCATCATTTCAAATTCATATAAAATGAGTATTAACAATTATCATCCAAAACAAAAAAACTAACAAATCACAAATTAAATTAATTCTAATATTAGATGAAACAAAATTGTAATTAAAAAACTTAACAATTGGCAAAAAGTTTTTGATTATGTGGTTGTTTATAAAGAAGAAAAAGGGAGTAAGAAGTTTTCAAAAATTCAACAAAAAAATGAAGAGTTGAAAATGTAATTTTATATATATAAAAAGATCAATTTGCTGAACTGTTTAGATGGCTATGTATGTTGTCTTAGTATTGTATTGTGTTATTAATTTAGTTGCTAATTTTATTAAAGAAAAGTATTTTTGTTTTCAAACTAAATCTAAATCTTTCAATTTTAATAATTAATGATATTAATAATTAGTATAAATTGAATCTTTCAATTTTTTTCAAAACAATAGGCCCGTAAGCTAATGTTTCAATTCTTTTCACATAGGCACGGCTTTGTGTAAATAATTAAGAAAAATAAGAATGGAATTAGGGAATATTAAGAAGAAAAAGAAGACCAAAGTGGTTATGAGAAAATGAGAAATGAAGGAAGAGTTGGGCTTCATGTGTGACACCTTTGCATCCAGGTGTCTTCTCTTTCTCCACTTGTCTTTCCCACTATTCTCTCTCGCTCTTTTTCAATAATAATAATCCACTTCATATAAATGACTTCTTGATATAATCCCTTATATATATACTAATGTACAGACAATTACCTTGTTGACAAACAAAAAAGGAATAACACTAATTCAATCATATATCACGACTTCTCGGAAAAAATCGACTTCTATTTTTTGTTTTGGTTGGTCTTCGTTTTTAGAGTATTCTTTTTTTTGTCGTCATTTTTTTTTAAGAGTATTCAAACTATTGAGAGAGCTTTAATTAAAAATTCGACCTATTTGTTGTCTGAGACTGGTTAGAAATTTTTTTTTTTGTACTTATGTTTCAGCTAGATTCGCCCATGGTTTCAACTGTATTTACTTCACAATTTTACTCTACATATCACTTTATTACATTTCTATATGGCTGTTTTACTGTAATATTATAGTTATCATGTAAAATATAGAGAACACTCATGACATTGGGAAAATAATAAATATTTGGGTGATCTTTGTTAAGCAATGTTGAAATCATCGGACATGAAAAATTACATTCTTTGTATCCTTTTATCGCCGATCTTCAAAACAATTAACGTGAAGAATGCTGACAAAAAAAAAAAAAAAAATCTAGAACATGTCGTCCATCCTCCATAATAGCGTTTTAAATATATAGTTGAAGTTTTGGCTTTTGCAGTTACGCATTTTTAAAATTAAAATTATGATGGCCCATTGAAACATCCTCGTATCCTACGCACCGGTGTGCTGTTACGTTGCCTCCATTTAGAATGTTCGTATGCGATTTTTTATACACACAAAACTTTCATAGAACAAATGATATTGAGACAAACCAATGTTGGCCTAACTATATAAGTCTTGAATCATCACTATTTTCCAAAAATACATCTAGATTGACAAACTAGCCCAATTTGGCTAGATGCATGATAAATTAAAATGAAAGAACAGCATGATTGTTCGTTTGCAACATAAGTAAACTTTAAAACTATGAATTAATAATAATTAACTGCATTGTATTATTAATTAAAGGCAAAAAAATTACAAAGTGATAAGGGAAAAAAAAAACACAACAACAAAAGAAAGTAAATATGCATTCAAGTTTCCAAGTGCATGATGCTTTCACTCTTATCCATAAGCTTGATATAAGAATAGAAGTAGTAGTCATAAGGCTTACCAAACCAGTGGTCCGGTATGCCTCTGATTGTAACCTTTCTTATATCATTCTTTTGTAGATCATAATATAGAACGTAACGAGGGAATTTCCAGGCATACGTTGTTAAGAAAACCTCCCCGTTTCGAGTTGTACTTTCCACGACCAATTCATCAATGTCGTCGTCGTCGTCGAATAGATGCATCTGACAAGGCTGCAAAACGAGAGATTTCTTCGACCATTCTCCACCATCTCCCAATTCCCACAAGTCCACTAAACCCTCGTCTCGGAGAATGGTTTGATCAAAAATAGCTGGTTTTCCACCATACTCTATGAGACCCATAATATCGCTGTCTATCTCATCAGGTAAGTCTATGATCATATTAAACTCTTCAGTTCTAACATCAAAATTGACTAGGACACTGTCTAAAAAACAACTACAGGAAGCCAAATAATATATAACTCCATTGATGCACACTCCCCTTGTTGTAGGAAAGTGAGGGTTTTGATCAAATTCGATTCTTTTCCAGGAACCTCCGGCTTCGAGTACGAAGACCCAATGCTCCGACTCCGCGGAGGTTGTACACTCACGTATGTCTGGACTTGTCGCAACAGTGCAGACAACTTTGTATTGATCAAGAACAGGATCATGTCCGAGAAAGTAGGCGACAGTGTTAAGATCATCTATTTGAGGAGCAGAGATGTTGGATTTGATGGCCGGTAAGGTTACGCTTTGTCTGGTGGCCGGATTATATATACACGCCTTTCTGCAAACGGTGTTCAAAATCAAGCCGCGAAGAACCATCGTGTTGTGTCCTCCCATCCATGGCAATGTCAAATCTTGGTCCAAAGACATCTCATCATCCTCAGCACCATTACTAGATGAAGATAATGATAGCAGTGCGGATTCGCAGGGGTTGTGACAGACCTGCGTTGAATCAATACACGCTCGGTGGTGCACCAAACTCGTGTATATACGAGGTTGTCGCGGTCGGGATGTGACAGTAAGATAAAGATTGCTGAAAAATCAGGAACGGATCAGACAAGACCACAGCTTTGAGAGGCACTTGAACCTCATAAGCGATTTAGCAGGCAATCGAGCCATGATCTCGATCTGGAGTTCCAAAGGAATCTCCTCCGGCAATACCAAAACGTCTACTCTTCGTCTTTTTCTTCCGACTTTTCCTCTTCTCTTCTTCCTTTGAAGAGACGAAAACAGAGCTAGATACTTAGCCATAGCTACTCCTTAATCAACCAGGACTGAAAAATAGGGCTCTTTTTCCAGATCTGAGAGTTGAGAGACAAAACAGAGGAAGACGAGCAGAGATAAGCTCACGATCGTAGGATATAGAGTTTGATCTGTTATCCTCCGTCTTTGCTATATATATACACATATAGTTTAAGCAAAAATAGAAAAACACATTATTTAAAAGGAAAGTTTAGGCTTCTTATTATTTAAAAAAAAAAGGAAAGTTTAGGCTTCAAGTATTAAACGGTTTTCAACTAATTTAAAAAGGAAAGTTTATGCTTCTTTAGGTTCTTAGTTCAAACCTTCAACTAATGGTGGCCTGGTTATATAAGTTATGATGAATCAGAAGTATATTTTCGAAAAATAACGTTCATATTGACAAATTAGTCCAACCAGGCTCAACGATGTCAAAATTAAAAGAAAAACATGACTGGTTGCTTGTAACACAAGTAAACTTTAAAAATTACAAATTAAATACTTGTATTGATATATTAATCAAAGACAAAAACATTTAGCTGATTAATGATAATCATATAGGTTGAAAGGAGAAGGGGAAACGAAAAAACAACAAGTAAATGAGGCATTCAAGTTTCCAAGTGCATGATGCTTTCACCACTCTTATCCATATGCTTGAAAAAAATGTATACCTTACCAAACCCGTCGTGGCCGAATATTCCACTGACATTAACCTTCCGCAGATGATTCTTTTGCGGATCATAATAGAGAAAGTAATTAGGGGAAGGCATCGGTCTCGGTACCAAGATAATCTCGCCGTTTTGAGTTGCAGATTCCACGTACAAATGGTCCAAATCAGTGATGCCATTGACTAAATGCATCTGACAAGGCTTCAAAACAAGAGATTTCTTCGACCAACTTCCACCATCATCTTCCATGACCCATAAATCCACCAGGCCATTTTGTCGAAGATGTGTGTGATCAAAAACTGTTGGCTTTCCAACATACTCTATAAACCCCACATACTTTCCCAAACCAGGTGTTTGGACCATGTTGAACTCTTCAGACCTAACGTCGAAACTGATAACGAACTCGCTAGAGGTCCAAGTGGAAGCCAAATAATATATGACTCCATTGATGCACAGTCCTAGTTTTGTAGGAATGTGAGGTTGTTGATCAAACTCGACTTTTTTCCAGGAACCTCCGGCTTCCAGTACGAAGACCCAATGCTCCGAGTTTAAAGTCTCAAAATCATCAACTTCCGACCATGTCACAGCAGTGCAGACTACTTTGTATTGATCAAGAACAGGATCATGTCCGAGAAAGTAGTTGACATGCTTTTCAGATTCTTCCTGAGCAAAGATGTCGGATTTGACGGCGGGCAAGGTCACGCTTTGTCTAGTGGCCGGATTATATATAATCGCCTTCCTGCAAACTGTGTATAAAATCAAGCCGCGAAGAACCACCATGTCTTGTCCTCCCATCCCTGGGATGGTCAAATCTGGCTCCAAAGACTCATCAGCACTATCACTAGACGATGATGACGATAATGATAGCAGTCGAGCCTTTTGGGGGTTGTGGCAGACCTCCTCCTTTGAATCACACGCTTGGTGGTCCACCAAACTCATGTATACACGAGGTGGTCGCTGTGGGGATGCGACCGTAAGACAAAGGTTGCTAAAATACCGGGAACGGATGAAACAAGACCAGAACTTTGAGAGGCACTTAAAACTCATAAGCGATTTACCAAGCAATCTAGTCATGATCTCGATCTGGAGTTCCAAAGGAATCTTTTCCGGCGCTACCAAAACATCTCCTTGTCGTCTTCTTTTTACGTTTCCTCTTCTTTTCGTCGTTGATAACCTCTTCTTCCTTTGAAGAGACGAAACTAGAGCTAGAAACATAACCATAGCTACTCCTTAATTAATCAGGAAAGAAAAAAAAAGGGATTTTTTTTAGATCTGAGTAACAAGGACAAAACAGAGGAAGACGACGAGCAGATGTAAGCTCACGTTCTAGGGTTTGATATTCTCCTCCGTGACTACTACGTCTTTGCTCTATAATTTAAGCAAAAATAGAACATTTGATTATATAGTAGGAAAATTACTATTAAAAAACTTCAAGTATATACTAAAAGGTTTTCAACTTAAACCTCCAAATTTTTAGATTTTTAGTTCAAACCTTCAACTTATTTATTTTCTCTTAAACAAACCTCCAAATAAAGTCATATGTGGTTTCTAAGAATCAATGAAGAAAATGTATCAGTATTTTACCAAACATAACAACAACAAAAATGGAACGGTTTGATAATAAAATTATGGAGTGAATTTTGACACAATTAATAATATCAAGTTGTAATAATAAGAAAAATATAAATCATTATAAATAATAACAATCTATATACAGTATATTTTTTCATAAGGAAGATAGACTCTAAAAACCATAAACAATATAGAATCGGTTTGAGTTTGTAGTACTCAATGTAAATTCTATCCACAAGATTAATATGTGGGTTCAATATAATTCCTTGATGTAATAGGCCAGTTTAGTTACTGTGGGCGAGGCCCAAAACCACTAAGATCCACTGGGTTTGTTTTCTTTTCTTGAAAGTCTTTGGTCAAAAAAAAAAACAAAAAACACAAACTTATTCGATAACAACTACTGTTCATAATTGTTTTATAATTTTCAACCAATATATCAATATTACATCAATCACAACATAAAATGGAACGGTTTGATAAAATAATGGATTGAATTTTGACCCAATTAATATCAAGTTATCAATCATCTAGGTGGATCAAATAATAATGTTTATAAGCTAGATTTTTTATTTCAAGGAAAAGAGATTTTAAAATCAAACACAATATATTTCATTTATTTCTTTACTAAATTAGTTATTCTCTCTTATGATAGAAATTTCAAGGTGATAATAAGGCTCCTATTTTTCTCATGACTACGCAAGTCGGTGGTTTCGGTCTGACTATTACGAAAGCAGACCGGATGATTATGGTTGACCCTGCTTGGAACCCGAAGTACTTTTTATTTAAATTTATGTATTCAAAATACATTTATAACGCTAACACCAAAAACTGTGAAAGAAGAATTTTAAAGTTTGGATATTTAACATTGACTTTCAGCTCTTTGTGTACAAAAATTGTACATGGTTTCAATCTTTTTGAAAATGTTTAGAATTTAGTTCATACTCTATGAGACCGATATCCTCGTATATCACATCAGGTAAGTCTTGGATCATATTGAATTCTTCAGTTCTAACATCAAAACTAAGAAGGGAAATTCTAAATTTAATTTTTTGGTTTTCCTCTCTCAAGCCACAGTAAATAGTCACACATAGTGAAAATTCTGTATTATGGAAAATTCTGAATTCAAACTTTTCTTAAGACCATGAATGTTTGCATAGTTTTTAGTTTTTTAATAAAGTCCTTTGACGTGGCTGACGTTTTCATTTTTCGGCATAAATTCCATTAAAAGAAATTCAAAAGTAACATATCAAATAAACCGATCTGCGCAGAGCTTACAGTTTCATATTATTCACAACCAAAACAGAGAGAGCAATGGTTTGCATAGTTTTTAGTTTTTTTAAAAAAATCCTTTGACGTGATTGGCATTTTCATTTTTTTGGCATAAATTCCACTAAAAAATATTCAAAAGTGCCATATCCAACAAACCAACCCGTACAGAGCTTACAGTTTTCTTGTTCACAACCAAAGCAGAGGAGAGCTTATAATTTTGTATTGTTCACAACTAAAGCAAAGATAGCAATGGCGTCAAACTCTAACTCTAACAGCGACAAATCTTAGAGACAGGGGAGAAATCTGATGCAGGGAATGCAGGAGAAGCGAGGCTATGAGACTCATTGCAACCTCTTTACCGCTTGCGACGGATCTCCTCCACCGCTGAGACAAGGTAGAAATCCGCCGTATCAGCCGACGTTGCAGAGAGTGCATGAGAAGAGGAAATCTATGGATCAGTTGGCGCCTGGCACGAGCGGCCACACTTTGACTCTTACAAAGGACCAGATGATTGTGGTTGATCCTGCCTAGAATTCGAAGTATTTTCTGTTTAAACTTATATATTGAAAATACATTCATAATGCTGACACCAAAAACTGTGAAAGAAGAATTTTAAAGTTTGTTCAGTTCTTTGTGTATAAAAATTGAACAGAGTTTCAATCTTTTCGAAAAGATTTAGAATTTTGCTCATTGAGTTTTCAGGAGATGTAAGTCTCTAATCTGGAACAACTTATGATCATTATTCCATCAGTTTATTTTTTTTTAAGTTTTAGATTAATCAAAATGTAAACTTAGTAAGCTCTTGGTGTTTGTTGTTGAAAACTAAGTTTTAAATTGGCCAACTGTGTTTTCGTATATACTGTATATAGTTTAAGCAAAAATGGAAAAACTCTTTATTTAAATAAAATGAAAGTTTAGGCTTCTCATTAATTAAAAAGGACAGTTTAGGCTTCAAGGTATTAAACAGTTTTCAACTAATTTAAAAAGAAAGTTTAGACCTTCAACTAATTTATTTTCCTGATACAAACCTCCAGATCAAGTGAAGTGTGGTTTCTTAGAATCAACAAAGAAAAAATAAAAGACAAGAAATACAAAATTATTCGATAACAACTACTATTTATAATTTTTTTTTTCAACCAATATATCAATATTACACCAATCATAACATAAAATGGAACGGTTTGATAAAATTATCGAGTGAATTTTGACCCAATTAATATCAAGTTATCAATCATGAACAATAACAAGCTAAGGTAGATTTTTTTTTTCAAGGAAGAAAGATTTTAAAATGAAAAACACAATATAATTGGTATAAGTTCGTTAGTACTCAATGTGTGCTTACAATTCAAACCCTGACTTAGTAGGAAAACTGAACTCGAAAACAGAAGACGAGTTTTGAATTATTACACCATAAAACGAAAAGACAATAGGTCATCATCCGTAAATATACTTTTTTAATTGCAGAAATGTGAAAATTGAATTACCTTAATTTTTCGAATCTCTAAACACATTCATCTCCACCTCCCTATACCAAAAAATAATTTATATATCGTGAGAAAAAAAACTTTTATAGTAGCAATGATGGGACAAAAATAGATAATCAGATAATAAAAGCTCACTCACTTGCTCCTCATCATCTCTCTTCCCTATCTCGCTCTCTCTCCAACTTACACACAACCCTATAAACACCTCGCAAAGCTCAAATCTTTTTCCTTTTTCGTTCCTCACTTCTCGGATCCGGGTCCTAAATCTGGGTCAACCCTTTTTATGATTCTGAAACTGGATCGTTGGAAATGGATCCTCCGCTAGTGAACGATTCCTCCTTCTCCGCAGCCAATCCTTCCTCTTACACTCTCTCCGAGATTTGGCCATTCCCTGTAAACGACGCCGTTCGCTCGGGCCTCCGTCTAGCGGTTAATTCCGGTGGAGCCTTTTCTCGGTCTGAGTTAGTTGAACATTCCGGCAACAAAGACATATCGCCGGCGGAGGAATCTACGGTCACCGACCTAACTGCAGGCTGGGGAGGAAGAAAGACTAGAGATTTGAACTCCGAAGACGATTCTTCAAAGATGGTTTCTTCGAGCAGCAGCGGTAATGAATTGGTGAGATTTTTGTCTTCATTGAAACCAAACCCTGATTTTCGATTCTAGGATAACTTGGAGGGTAATTTGGCTATGATTGGTATTGATCTGTTTCCTGGGTCTTTTCAGTATTCGAATCTGTAACCAAAGCTTGAATCTTAGATCCTCAGCTTGGAGATGATCCAAAAACCAACGAGTCAAAGCCATAGTCTTTAGTTTAGGCTTCAAGGATTACTTTATAGGTTCGATATGATGCCTTATCCATTGACTTTTTTTTTTTGACTGAGTTGGATTTGAGCTTCAAACCTTCAGCTTGATAGATGTTCACTGTCACTGATCATTGATTATATCTATATGAAGTGTTGTTAGATCGAGAATTTAATTTTAGGATCTTAAGACTTCCTATCTATTTGCTTTTTGATAGAAAGAATCGGGCGGTAAGAAAAGAAAAATTTGTGGGTCTGAAAGTGGAAATGGGGATGGTTCGATGAGACCTGAAGGAGAAACAAGTTCGGGTGGTGGAAGCAAAGCAACTGAACAGAAGAACAAACCCGAGCCACCAAAGGATTATATTCACGTGAGAGCAAGAAGAGGACAAGCTACTGACCGGCATAGTCTAGCAGAGCGAGTAATTCTTCTGCTAAATCATATTGTTTACATCAAATCGATTCCTCAAAACTGTTTATTTACAATCACAATTGGTTTTTTCACAGGCTAGAAGAGAAAAAATCAGTGAGAAGATGACGGCTCTTCAAGATATAATCCCGGGATGTAATAAGGTACATGACTAACTAGTCCTTTCTCTTTTGTCTTGTGAATGATGTTCTGTTTTTTAACTTCTAGCTTTTAACATTATATCTCCCCTTGGTTCAGATAATCGGAAAAGCCCTTGTGCTCGATGAGATTATCAATTATATTCAGTCATTGCAGCGGCAAGTTGAGGTAAAAAAAATCTCGAGTTTCTCTCTATTAGATGTTGCGGTTTTACATGCTTAAAATGGAATTTGGTGTGCAGTTTCTGTCAATGAAGCTAGAAGTTGTTAACTCGGGTGCAAGTACTGGTCCGACAATAGGAGGTTTTCCTTCAGGAGATGTAAGTCTCTAATCTGGAAAAACCTATGATCATTCCATCAGTTTTTTAAGTCTTAAGAGTAATCAAAAAGTAAACCTAATAAGCTCTTGGTGTTTGTGTTTATAGCTTGGGATTTTACCGATAGATGTTCATCGAACAATATATGAGCAACAAGAAGCTAACGAGTCCCGGGGATCTCATCCGGAGTGGCTCCATATGCAGGTTGATGGGAACTTTAACCGAACCACATAAAAATCTCTTCTTTGATGGTTGTGTTTTTCTAGGCAGTAAAAATGAATGCAACCTCTTTTTTTTTTTTTACTGTGTGTCTATCATTTTGCTGTTAAGTTTGTTATATCAGAAAAATAGATTTGAAGGTGACCGACCAGACGGAGAGATTAACACTTTATAAAACATTGTTGTATTGTCTGTTATAACTTGTAACAATTGATTCAGTGACGCAGTGATCTTATATGTATGTTGCTCTCAAATCTTCTCCGTGTACAAAACAATCTTTTTATTATGGTGTTGGCATGATGAATCAATGATACAGTACGTTCCCTATTGCAATAACTGAAAAGTGAAGGACCTGTATCTTCAAAATAATTAAATAAATGGGAGATTATTTTCCAATCTACAAAAGGAAGGATTTGACTTAAAGTCAAAGTAATGAGATCTAACGGCTGAGACTCTCTCTTCTTCATCCATATTCAGATCAAAATCCGAAATCGATCTCTTTCTCTCTCACTCAAGTTGAGGGGCGCCAAAAAAAAAAAAAAAACCCTTTTGACAAAGAGGGAAAAAGTTTTTATTTTTTATTTTACTTGTTCTTGGGCGAAATCGATTTGACGAAATCCCGAATTTCAGCTGGGAAATTTCTTCTCTTTTTCAATCTCGGTCTTTCTCTCTGGTTGTTCCTCTCGAGATTTGGTGGGCTTACGAGCAAGGATTTAGCCATGGAGCATCAGAACGCGGTCAAAGAAGCCCTAAACGCACTGTATCATCACCCGGATGATACAGTGCGTGTGCAAGCTGATCGCTGGCTCCAGAACTTCCAGGGAACTCTCGATGCTTGGCAGGCGAGTTTTGTTTTTGATTTTTCAATGTTGATTTTGCTTTCTCGGGTATTATCTCATTCAACCTGGATTTGTTTTGGGTTCGGTTTTTCTTCCTTGTTTTGCTCTAGCTTCAATTATTCGATTCTCAGTTACTTTTAGACTATATTAGCTGCACAAAGTTTCATCCTTTATCAATTTTGTATTCTCGATTAGCTCGTTTTGTCGCCCTATGCATAGCAGGAAACTCGAATTTCAGTATTAGTGATGGCTTTGAATATAATGAATACAATTTACTTCTTTTTTTTTGTTTGCATTCTTCTTTAGCTGGCGTGGAGAAGTATGTGTTGGGCGTATGAACAGATATATCTTGTTTGATTTGCTAGCTTTTATCAGTTTTCTAATAGCCTTTTAGACCCATGATTGTTGATTCTGAGAAGAGGAAGTTTTGGTGGAACAGTACTACAATGTTTCTTACTCTGTACTGTTGTATAATTTCTAGGTTGCGGATAATTTACTTCATGATTCTTCCAGCAATTTGGAAACTTTGATATTTTGTTCTCAGACCCTTAGAAGCAAGGTAACACACTTTTAATTCTCCATCATAAGTGGTCAATATTGATTATGCAATCTTGGAGATTACACTCTGTTGACATCTGGTCTCTCTTACTCAAAGGTTCAACGAGATTTTGAAGAACTACCACCTGGGGCTTTTCAGAAGCTACGGCAATCATTAACGGTAAGTCTTTGTTTCATTAAGTAAATTTCAATGAGTTACAGGACTTCTGAATACATTTGTATGTTGTTCTTTTGAACAATAATGTAATAGGACAATCAGCTGAATTAGTATTTTTTTCGAATATGTAATCTGGCATCTAGGTTTTACCACGAATTTCGTTATTCCGGCCAATAATTGAGGGCAATATGTATTCTTGATATTGGACAAATACTTTCTCACTGTTGCCGGAAAAATTTGACTGTCACTATTTTCTCAAGTGCAGACATTGTTAAAAAAGTTTCACAAAGGCCCCCCGAAAGTTAGGACCCAGGTAAGCTTCAGAAATCTTTCTCCATTATGTACATTTGAGAAATTTTTGCTGTGTGTAAGAACTCATGTGCTTTGAGCCGGATTATTTAAATTCAAGTATTTTATATTGTAGATTAGTATTGCTGTTGCTGCCTTGGCGGTGCACGTTCCTGCGGCAGATTGGGGAGATGGTGGTATAGTTAGCTGGCTTAGGGATGAAATGAATATGCATCCTGAATATGTGCCTGGTTTCTTGGAACTCTTGACAGTTTTACCCGAGGTAGAGCACTTTTCACTCTGTTTAACTGTGCATCTCTCAAAGTAATGAAAGTTAATTCGTGTAGCCGGCTATATATGTAATGAAAGGCCTTGTTTTGGGTTGAAATGGATCTGCTTACATCTTAGCTATGTTAGTGTTGTTGACCTCAAATTGAGCAGAACTAAGCTTAAGGTTGATGATGTTTTTCGTGAATATTCTGTATCTTTTTACTGTTTGCGTGTCTATGTCTAAGTATGCATTGTATGTTACTCTATAAGTGTTATTTCAACCCCTCAAGTAGTAGTTGGACAAGAGGTTGTCATTTCTAGGAAAGCTATTTAACATGGTCTATTTGCAGAAATGTTGACAATTCATTTTGTAACTAAAGGAGGATTTTCATAGCCTTTTCCTAAATTCCTTCCACGTCTTTTCTACCTTTCCCTTTGATTAATTTGATCCTCTGTAAGGAATAGTATATTGTGCCGTGACTGCTATAGTTTAAATGTCTAATTAGATTTAATCTAGATGGTTATATGATGCCTTGCTTTTTATTGTCCGTCTTGTTATGACCAGGAAACGTTTAACTACAAAATAGCTGCTCGTCCGGATCGACGACGTCAATTTGAGAAAGAGCTTACTTCTCAAATGGAAGCTGCACTTAGTATATTAACAGCATGTTTGAATATAATCGAACTTAAGGAACAGGTCAGAGCTTATCTTTTATATAAAGTTGTGTCGTAGTTCAATACATATAATTTGTTATTTGCTTTCAATGATCCTTCTGAAGATCATTTTAAATTTTAGAAAAATCGTCTTTTATGTTCTGATGCACTTTGTGTTTTCTTACTTTACACTGAATTTTGGTTTCTTTACTACTTTATCAGTCAGAGTCTTGGTTTTCCTTGTAAAAACGTGGCAAGTTTCATGTAAAAGCTTGATTGCAACTTAGATTTTCACTTTCTTAAAGCCAAATTTTAATATGTCTTCTGGCATTATTATTAGCTTCCGTAATATTTCCTGTATTTCCGAATTCAGAATAGGGTTACTTTTGTTTTGTATGTGTTGGAGCAGCTAGTGTTTCTGGCGTTGCAAGGGGTCATTTATTTCTTTTGTAATTTTGGTATTTCAGGTTCTTGAGGCATTTGCTTCTTGGCTCCGTCTTAGGCATGGGTATGCTCTTTCTTTTTGCTTTTCTATCTCCAGTTTTATTTAGAATGACAGCTCTTCTAGATTACATATTCATTGTGAGTTCATCAGGTTAAAAATCAAACATTCATTATGATATAAGACTGATGGGCCGATGGCATCTTATATAACATGTTCTACTATTTGGGTCGCATCGTTTTGTCCTAAATAGAATCTTTGTGACACGGAGCTAATTTATTTGATTTTTGCTACTAGCTAGTGTTCACTGTTTTCACCGATATTCAACTTAACAACGATGACTACTGACTGAACTGTATTCTGGTATACTTGTGGGATGGTCTTTTCAGGATTCCTGGAGCAGTACTTGCCTGCCATTCATTGGTGCATGCAGCTCTCTCAAGTTTGAACTGCGATCCACTCTCTGAGGCATCTGTGAATGGTACTTAACTGCTTTGAGATGTTTTTTCACCTTCATTATAAGGAGCAAGACTTTTTAAAAATTCGTTACAAAATAAAAAAAATGCCTTCAATTAGCTTTCATATTACAGGTCAGAGCTTCCTTCTTGTACCCAGGATTATTTATTACACTAATATATAAATTTCATTTTCAACTTCGCAGTTATCTCTGAACTGATACATCACACGGCATCGCCAAGCTCTGGTGGTATATCTGCGCAGACACCCTTAATTCAAGTTATTGTGCCTCAGATTTTAAGTCTTAAGGCCCATCTAAGGGATTCTTCAAAGGTACTGCTATGATCCTATTTACCTTTTGTATTACCGTAGGCAAGTCGATGGCTGAACCTGCTTGATATTAAGATTTGTTAGTTTACATATATCATGTTCCACTGGTTGCGGCTTGAACGTCTATGAATTTGTTGTTTATGGACCCCATTAAAGGCAAAAGTTATCCAATGCATAGGAAGCTGATTGCCTACACTTGTGTTTTAGCGCTATAAGGGTGATTTTCTGTTTATATGACGGGATATTTGTGGTTAGAGAAGTCGGCAAAGGCTGCTAAAGATACCCCTCATAATCCGTTTGTTATTTTTCACATGTGCTTGTATTATTTTATTTTGGCTCTTAGAAGTATTTCACTTTCAGGATGAAGAAGATGTCAAAGCTATTGGTCGATTATTCGCTGATGTAGGCGATTCATATGTTGAACTGATTGCTACTGGTATACGGCCTCATTTCTACTACTCCCTTGTTGTTTTTAAGTTTTCCGTTTCATGCCTCTTGATTGTCCTTGGTGCTCCAAATCCTTTAGTAGGTAATCTAATATGTAATCTTTCTGACCTCAGGTTCGGATGAATCAATGGTTATTGTGCATGCCCTGCTGGAAGTTGCTTCACACCCGGAATTTGATATAGCCTCGATGACCTTCAACTTTTGGCACAGTCTTCAACTTACATTGACAAAGAGGTAATATCAGGTTCGTCTATGTTTCCTAGGAGCTAGTAGTGTCATAATCTGAGAGTGTGTTTTTAATCTATCAGGGATTCTTATATTTCCTTGGGTAGTGAAGCATCCATCGACGCTGAAAGAAACCGAAGACAGCATATCTTCCGGCCAGCCTATGAGAGCCTTGTATCTTTGGTGAGTGTGTAATCAGATACTTACATTTTTGTTAGCCATTCTTAAGTTTTACTCTTTCAAGAATATTTGAAGCCTTTATTGGTTTGCTCTAACCTAGAGAAACGAACTGATCTCTGATGCATGAGTGACTTATGAATGTTTCTCTTTTAAATGCTGGTTACTAAAAATGCATTTGATTGATCATCTTTTTGGTGAAAAACAGAAAACTAGATGGGTTATTGTATGCTCTGCAGTTTATGTCACTTCTGGTGCGTTTAAACATATTAAATGATTTCCTTCACAGGTTGGCTTCAAAGTTCAGTATCCTGAAGATTATCAAAACCTCTCGTATGAGGACCTTAAGGAATTCAAGCAGACTAGATATGGTAATTTTAGCCACATATAGCTTGTTCTCAACATTACATA